AGCTGATCCAGATAAGTAAGGATGATAAAAATCTATGGACCACATCTCTAAATTGTCAAAATTATGTTTAAATATGTAAGAATATATACCACATAATGTTTTTGCAAATATTTTTTCACATCTAAATTTTTTGCTGCTTTATAAATATTCTTTTAAAAAGGAATGTGTATTCTTATAACAAAAACTTCGATCAATATGGGCAACTAGCCTGAAAAGAGGAAACTTCTCCCCCCTGGGCATTTTATCTTTTTGACTCGTTTATATCAAAATGATTAACTAAATATAAAAAAAAAAATTTGAGTATGGGGGCAAATATTAATGACCTGCAAAAGTTCTTAAATCACAAGGATTGGACAATTGAAACCAAAACCCGATTAAATCGTTACTGAGGTATATCAACTGATTCGCTCTAAAGACAAAGAGGTGTTTTTCACCAATAGCATATAGCTAATGTTCTTATCAGCTTACTTGACGGGTCTGTTACTAAAGTACCAGAAAGTAATATCTGCCTAAAAGGATGCCACTATATTAGCAGTCACATTAAAAGAGACTGTCTGGCTTTGATCTGCGGTATATAAATAATACTGGGCTGGAAATTTATGGCATCGCCATATGTTGGAAACTCCTCAACTTGAAATTCTTGAAATTCAGTGAGATCTAGAATAGTTGTGCAATGTTCTACTTTATAGTGTTCTTATCACATTGCTTATTCATTGACTCCATTTCAAATCATATTACCTAATGGAAACTAATATATATATAATCAATCGTACTTGTTTATGTTCTATGAATCCCATAAAACTCTAATAATTCGCTCTAAGCCTTCTTTATTTTAGAACTTTTCAACCAATTTCGGTAGAACTGATCCATTAAAAGAATTTATTTACAAAAAAGTCACTGAAAAATAAATATAATACATACATTTATTAATATTATTAATAGCTACAATAAAAATGAATAAAAACAACAACAAATTATTAAAGGCACGTACTTCTTAGATTGAATTCGTTACTGTTCTTTTGTTGCTTCAAGTAATTCTCTGTCCGTCCAAATTTTTATTTCTTTTTTATATTGGACTCCACTTCCCATTCAGTTTCTCATTCATTAAATGCAAATTTATAAATTTCTCAGAATTTTTTTAAAGGGTGAAGCATTTCAATTAAGTGACATATATTTTAAAAAAAAAAATTTATGTATACAATGTTTTCTATTTATCATAGCCTTGCATAGTTTCTTTTTGTAACGAAGATCAACAACCTAAATTTTTGGATCTATATATGGCAGCATAATGTTAGTGGTCCAATCTTAAATTCAAGCAATTGAAATTTATTGCTTGAGAGCATTTTATCAAGCCTTCTCCTGGTATTTATTATTCTAAATTTTTTTATTGTGGCGCCTAATCCAAAGACGAAACAAAGTGAAACATTTATATTTTGTATCTTTAAAGTCTTTGTGGACACGAAATATACGATTTCGCATATTAATTACAAGCGTTTCGCATGTTAAAGCGACTTTAATATATATGCAATTAGGATTCGCAACATTTTTTACACTACTCAAATTTTAATATTGTTTAAGAGGAAATTCAAGGCTTTTTGAATGCATAATTTGTAAGCTAAGTTTCTTCAGAACTTATTTTTGTATTTATAACTAATAATGGAAAGGTATTGTACTTTGTATCAAACATTTATGTGATTGATCAACTTGAGAAAATGAATCGATTATACGATGTTCATCTGAACTTCATTTTTCTAAATCGACGTACATGTTTTCTAATGCCTAAATATACCAGCAATGTTGTAAAAGAAATGTTTATGGGTTTAAACATTATGTACGACCACGATAACTTTGAAAATTTTAACTTTTGTTTTACCATCTATGTTTTTGAGAACAAACCTGCGCTTAGAAACAGTATAGGAAACTAAGCTGCCGCCAAAATCAACAAACTAAACACTTAACATAAAGATTTCCGATGTGAGTCTGAAGTCTTCCCGGCTTATTATTATTTTGTAGATAATAGAATAGTTACGGTAGGTGAAACTTATAAAATGTTATCAAAAACTGAAATACCTTGGATCTATTGCCTAAACTTGTTCATTATAGGTCTCTGTGTTTTACAATGAATTCACTTCATGGAGAACTTCTTCCCCAACTTTTTTTGGGTTATTTTATTTATTGTGGAACTCAACTGCTCATGGAGTATATAGACTCAATAGTCGGTATTTTTAATTTAAAATTTCTATTTACATTATAAACTTATAGCATGCATGGGTTTATATTCCAGGTAATTGATTACTTGACTTAAGTAATTGCTGTCATTTATATTACAACTCGACATTATTTTGTTTTTATTTTGTTATTTTTGATTGTTTTTTTTGCATTTATGAAGATACTTTTATTATTTTTTTTCTTGTTTTTCTGTTCTATGCTGGTAGGTTCTATCACGAAAAATATATTTTTCCTGCAAAGTTGCTACATTTAAAATAATTTTGGTGTTTAGCAACGACATATCTAAAGCTCAGAGTGATAAGATGCTTGGATTTTTTATATGTAAAAATTCATGCTATTTCTTACCCCGTGCCACTGGCGAATAGTGCGCCCTTGCAGCGTACCTAACTTCATATGTACGAGTATTAATATCTGCATTAAAGTATTTTTATATTATTCTGTAAATATGTTATGAGTCTTATATACTATGGAATATGCATGCATCTTTTACTGATTCCACCTCGTTGGTACTCTGGTCTTCTACAACATCAATACTGTCTTTTACGTTCGCAACGTAGTCCTCGTCGCCGCCGTCTTCACTATCGTTTCGTTGCCATTTCCTTTGTCAAGTTTGCCGCTTATTTTTTTTTTTTTATTTTTTTACTTCAATAACGCAGATTCCAATGATTGTTAATTCTTTTGTGCCGAGAAGCAACAAATAAACTTGAACACACCTCTCGCCCTGCCACAGCAAATATAATCGTGTCGTTAAAAAATTTCAAGTTTTCTTATTTACCTGTGCTTCATAGAACCTAAAGAGTTAAACTTTTTTAGCCTCGTGTTTTTTTCCGCAAAAATATCACTTAATTTTTTGCCTATAAAATGCTTTCGTATTGTAAGCTCAGCAAGGAATTTTTTTTTTTTTAACGTTATCTTCTCTGACTCGGCTGTGCGCAAACAGCTCCTAAAACAAATCAGATTCGCTATGGTTTTATTGGGCTCCACACATTCAGCTCTCACACATATACTCTATATTGTTGTATTATTTACTTTTTTATTTTTTTATTTTTTGTAATTTCGTTGGGAGCTTGTGGTATAAAAGAACGCGCGCCAAATTATTTTGCCCACACGGCTTGTGGCCACTAACTGAGCCACAGAGCCACAGAGCAGAAGCGGTTCCAGTAGAGATTTTTAAAAATTTCTTGTGAACGACGCATTTACGTACATTTTATTGGTGCGTACATGTATTAATGTATGTTGGATCACATGATAAACAGCTTAAAACTTATGAAACTCTAACCTCACCGAAACATTATTTGTCTACAGTGTTTTTATGTTTTAGTAGTCATTATAATGTATTGAACCATTGACCCATATCCACACACTTCACACATTACCCAAAATTATGCTGCTTCCTCTGAGATATGTTATGTATGTATGTTGATTATTGCCCAGACATAATAAGATACCCTAACTCCATTTATTGTATAAATATCCAAACAATCTAGCATAAATTTTAATCTGAAAATGCAAAGCTATTTAAGTGTTGTTGTCTTGCCCCCTCATATGATCTAGCTCTTCTTTTACTGACAAAGAAATTTTAACAATAGTAATTTTCCAAACCATCTAACATAGACTAGCTGTTCTTTTACTGTAATAATTTATCTCATTTTCTGAAATCTTCCTAAACTCAAGGCAGACACAGAAAACATTTTCAATAAATAAATAATTGAAATTAGAAGAATTCAATTTTTTTATATTAAGAATGATGCGCTTAACGTAAACGAGAACTTTAAATCCTCTTTGTGTTTCCAAGAAAACATGATTATAATAAAATTTAATATGTCAGACTCTAAACACCACGATTAATCTTACTGCTCCAGATATGATTCCGAAGATCCTACATCTAGTATTAAAACTTTCATCAACTCTCTTCAGACGACTAATGATGGCGTCCAGTTTAATAATTGCTATCAAGACTCCCTAACGTATGCTAAATTACATTCTAAATCTAACAATTTTCTAAAATTAAGACCCACTTTATTTTGTCATCGTCATCTCCCAGTGATCGCAGTGGAACATAGTGCCTCAACCATTCTCTTATTATTTAAAAAAGAATAAGTAACGTCTATACTTATACATATAGAAGATTTTAGATAAGTATCACAAGTGATATCTTATGTGCATCTAAGTATATATATATAAACATTATTTTTGTATTCCACATATGCATACGTATACATAAGTATGCATACATTCTAAACATCTAGTTTTACGGTCCTAAATGTCCGTCTATGTTTGAGTTAGTGCATATGAGTTAAAATATAATTCCGAATAGTACAAAAGTATATATCATTCTAAACACTAAAATTCCATATACACTTGTAGTGTACCTGTGGCCACAATTACAATTGCAGACCCCACTTAGGCTACTTTAAAGGAGAATTCATTTTAGGCGCAAAAAATGAAGCAATAAAGTATCTAAGCCTTCTTTCATTTATAAAGATTCCCCTGCATAGTTGTTGAGTATATTATGTACTACCATCTACGTACGTTAAAAAATAAATAAAATAAAATAATACCACTAATACACGTACACCACGCTTCGATGTATTAAACTAACTTCAAGAGACCTCCTCGCCACAATATATGTAAATAAAATTAAATCTGAGCGCTCAGCTGATTGCTGCTAGCAAGAGGGGCAATCCAAAAAATTCCAACAAACAATTATGCACACACAATGGCAATCGAAAATAAAATTAAGCAATTTTTATTGTTATCAGTGAAAAAGGCACAAACCAATAAGTAAAAAAAATTATGTACACGAATTGAGGCACAAAGCAAATAGCGCCAAAAATCAATTTCTCCTTCAGTAACTGATTTGAGCGCACTGATTTGTTCTTATATGCCTATATGCTTCTTTACTTTGCCAAGTAAATCCTGTAGTAGCTCCCATTGATTGTTGTTGCTTGTGAGATTTTACTTTTTTTATCTAGCATACAACACACATTCTTAAGCTTTTTGTGCACTTGTTCGCTGCCGTCGTCCATCGTCCATCGTTTATCGTTTCTGCTTGTTTCTTATGTTCTCTACAGGATGCCAACAAAAATGCAAACTGAACATAAATGTACTCATAAGAAAGAAATCTGAGCAGGAAACACAAAAACGGCTGAGAAACAAAAACAAAAATCATATGTTCAAATGCTTACCAAAACAAAAACAACAAATTGCTCTAACTCACTCCATCACATATGTTTGTGTGCTTAATTACAACTTTTTCTACAAAATCCTTTTGCAGTTTTGCATTGAGCACAAGAGCAAAGCAAAGCAAAGCAAATCCAACAACACAACAAGGAGTTTTGTGCGCTTGCCTCTTAGCATTAGAAATATAATTTCCATTGCATTGCTTTTCTGCTTACTTCTGCTGTTTGGGGTGTTTTTACTTGTTTTCTACAGCCTGCAACAGCCATATAAAGACCATATAAAGAAAATAGTTTTTGCTCTCCATGCTGTGCCATGCATGCAATGAAAGAAACTCATTTCAGTTATGAGCTATTGCTCATACGAATAGTGTACAACAACAATACATACGATATAATTTCCATCTCTCTCTCAGTGAGTTATCTCTGAGTTGCTGTTTCTATTGCTCTTTTTAGGGTGATTTCTGTTTTTATTTTACGGTTTGAGCGAAGTTGAAATTTTTCTATAAAAGCAAGCCGGACTTCATTTCAGACTATCATTCGAGTTTCTCATTCATTGCCGCTTTATCGTTTATCGCTTATCGCTTCTGCTGAATTTGTTCATCATTTAAGGATATATTTTTAAGTTCAAAATTTATTAATCTTATAGACTAAATCAAATATTCACTAATACAAGCTATAAGCAATACATACATGAAATTCAAAAGAAAAAAACTTTATATTAAAGTGGCTACAAACGTACTTAAAAAAGCAAATATGTTACAAGAAACTCTATAAACACGATTTAACACGAAATAATTTTAATAAACACTACATACATGCAATATTTTATTTTAAACAAATTAATTTTCTTAAAATTAATCCAAAATAAAACAAAAAACATTTACCACAAAAATGAACTGCTGACAAAGATTTAACAAAAATTTTATAAAACGCGTAAAATTGTGCAACAAATTCTAATATATAAATAAATAAAAATTGTGTTTTAGCAATTTTTTTAAAATTAATTTAATTAAATAGTAATAAGACCTACATAAACAAAATAACACAAAAATGCTGTGGGATTCAATAACTGATGAAACTTGCACGTTTGCCATGGATTGTACCAGGTAATTTCCACAAAGATTTCAAAAGTCTAAAGTCTGTATAAGTTGCACTAGTAAAGAAAATGTTTTTGTATAATTGCCCACCTTGGATTAACACCGTTACGCCGTCATACCGTCACACCGTCACACCATTACATAAAATACAAACCAAATCAAACCGACAGACACTGCGGTGAACTTGAACTCAACATTTTTTTGAAAGTGAGAGTTGGCAGAATTAAATGTTTTTGCACATGCTCACACCTTTGGCAGTGGTCGGTTTGTCTTGGCTCATTGTGGAGCTTTACACAATGAAACCGAAACACGCGACACCGGCGCAGACACCATTTACCGGCCCGCAGCAACCGCTCGCTGTTTTGTGGCTGCCTTTGCGTTTTTGGAATTTCATTCATAAAATTTGCAGTAAAAAAAATTGAAATTTAGCAAAATTTTGATTAAATTGAGTCACATTGAAGTGGATTTATTGAGACACAAAAGGTTTACGTTTGTTTAAAATATTTTAAAAAAACATTTATTTTTGCTTACTTCAAATTACATACTTCCTATATATCCTTCAGATATTTTTATCTTGTATTAAATAATTTCAACACAAGATAAAGCAAACCCTTCCTTAACTATTAACAAAAAAAAATTGCTCCAATAAATTTTAATATGTGACTGAATAATTGAAAATAAAAATTTTTAATAGTTTTAATATTTATTTATATTAATAATCTTTTATTTAATTTTCTGTTACTGTTACTAATTTTCTTGAAATTTTTTAAGAAATTCCAAATTTCCTAGTTCCCATTTATTTTCTTTACATTTTGCATTAAGAATTTACCAACATCTGCATATGTCAATTGTAGTTTCACTCCACTCAATTCTTACCAGCTATCCTGCTAGCTCCCGTGCTGCATTTATGATTCCAATTACATTCTTATTTTCAGCATTCGTAGTGCAACAACTCCCTCCCTTCCACGCTTCCACGCTTGCGCACATGGTGCATGCTTCTTTGTTTAGACTTTGTTTGTGATCAATGGAAAACAATAACAACAAAACAACAATAACAACAATACTACGAAGACAGCAGAAGCACACAATTTACAGCTAAATGTACAGTACACTCAGTCCCAGTCCCAGTCGAATTTAGCCAAACTAACCCTTGTTGTTGCTGTAGCTCTGCTGTTCCATTTTCCAATTCCAATTCCAATTTAAAAATTTTACTGAATTTTTATAAACATAAACATTATCGCAGGCACTGTGCTGTAACAGTGTAAAGGGGCGCTGGTGTTGCTGTTGTTCGATTTCGCCACCACCACCGCCACCAGCTCTCGGCTTAGTGTTCTCATGTTCATGTTTATTATTATTTGTTGTTGTTGTTTTCGCTTCGTCTTTTTATTTTTATCTATGTATCTGCGCTTTTGGTACTATCGTAGCTCGCGTGTGAGTTTAATGAACCCTCTACTTACTATACCTTACTCTAAACGCTGCCCTTGTGCTGCGTGTAGTGAAGCGCCCTTATTTCTAGTCATTTTTTGAATAATTTTTGAATATAATATAATAAAAAAAAAATGCAAAAAAAAACCAACTAATTAATTATTTATATTTGTCTTCTTTTTAGTTATCAAATGTCCGCTCGCAAAGCAAGACTGGGTAATGATCATCCAAGTGGCTTACTTAACATGGTTGTGGACGAGTTGTCATTTTATGGCGATGAGTCTCAATCTGAATTGCACCAAGAACACCCTTATGTGCCCAGTCCACCATTATTGGGTTTATTATCACCGGAGGGTTCGCCGCAAAGATTTTGTATTTTTGAAAATGCTGACGTATCCGCTCCAGAAAACAAGTTCCAGCAGAATCTACAAAACCAAGCAACAAGCACCTCTAGTTCAAACCTTTCAGCTAAGAGTTTTCGAATATTCAATAGTTTATCGTCGTGTTCCATGGAATCTTCTGTGGACGATGATTATATGGATTTGTTTGAAATGGAAACTCTTGAGCAACCACATCAAAGCGGTCATTCTAGCATTTGTTTTCCTAGTGATCTCACATCACTTATCAGTGGCCATATTAAGAGTTCTTCCCCTGCCAAAATCGAAGCAATAACACCTGAAATGCACCGCCCCTCAGTACGACGCTGTCTCAGCATGACTGAAAACTATCAACAAAATCAACCAAAGACCCCAGAACTACTGAAAAAAGCACAAGAGACTCCTACTAGCACTACACCATTCGCATCGAGGCTAACTGTTGAGCGCACTCAAACCAATAGTACAACACCTGTATCTGCAAATTGTTTTAAACGCCCAGAACCACCTTCATCCGTCAACTGTTCACCTGTACAAAATAAACGTTATCGCAGTGTAGAAAAGGAAAATTTTGACAATTTGTTAACAGTCACTAATACCATGACAAGTAGCACTCTAACGCAAATTACTTATCCTACATCTTTACGTAAGTGTATTTCTATGAACGATGCCGAAATATTATCAGCATTGACACGTTCCGAAAGTCAAGATGGACCCGATCTTATTGGCGACTTCAGTAAACCATTCGTTTTACCCCTGCTAGATGGTCGCCATCGTGATCTTAAGTCGGTTTCGAGCGATACTCTAGCACGTCTAATTAATGGTGAATTTAGTAACGAGATTGCCAGCTACAAAATTATAGACTGCCGTTATCCATACGAATTTGAAGGTGGCCACATTCGTGGCGCTCAAAATCTATATACACAAGAACAAATTCATGAAGAGTTCCTTACACAGCAAAAGACTGAACAAAATCAAGAAAACGTTCAAGCTGCAGGCGCAAGGCGCAACATCATTATTTTTCACTGCGAGTTCTCATCAGAAAGAGGACCAAAACTATCTCGCTTCCTGCGTAATCATGATCGCACTCGTAACACCAATTCTTATCCGATGCTTGATTATCCCGAAATATACTTACTTCACAATGGCTATAAGGAATTCTATGAAACACATGCCGAACTCTGTGATCCCAGTTCATACCGACCCATGCTAGAGCCGGCTTACAGCGAAGCGTATCGGCAATTTCGCTCAAAATCAAAGTCATGGAATGGTGACGGAATAAATGGTACGTCACGGCTTAAAAAATCAAGATCCCGCTTATTGCTTTAATGAAGACTTTCAAGTTGATATAGAATTAAGAAGCTCAATAACATCGATGTACAAATGAATAACATCTTTCATATGTAAAAAGTTCATAATCACCCCGCAATCCACAACCGACACGTTTGAGTTTAAGGTTTAATTTAAATTTCTTTAAATTGGTTTCGTTTACGTTTACGTTAACGTTAACTCTTTTATTTTGTTCACGTTTGTAATTATTTTTATTTTTTATATTTTTATAACGATTTTTCGGTAACATCCCGGATTATTATATTTTTTAACACAAGCTTAGGAAATATGTGAATAGTGCTATGTTAACACCTCGGCCTAGCTTATTGCTGGTATTGCTGGCGGTATTGTAAAAATTAAACATTTAGTAAGACTTTAGGCTTAGACTTTAATCTTAATTTACATTGTAGTTAATTTATTAAAAACAAAAAAATGTTTGAAAGTTATTATACATTTTAGTCAAAATTGTTTAAGTTACGTTAAAATTTCTAACTGAAAGAATGAAAAAGTGTGCATTAATAATTATTTTATATTTTTAGTTAACAAACATTTTCAAAATTATAAGATGAATAAAAACAAACGAACACACTCACATACATAAAAAGTTTAAAACTTTCGCTAACCATACTACGCTTATTTTTATATTTAAAATTTAAAAAATTTTTATTTTTAACTTTAAAGCAAAGCTTTTTTGTATCAAAAATGCAATAAAAAACTAAAATAAACGTTTTAAAAATAAAATATAAATATTTTGTTTAACAATTTTATTTTATGTATCCTTTTATTTATCAAACTCTGTTTTTGGTAATTGTTGTCCTGTATATTTTTTATAGTTTATTTTATTAATTTAAAGCTTAAATCTTTTATTTTATTTATCTGTGGAAAAACGGGCTTTGGCAAAAGAATTTGGACAAAAAATTCATTTCCTTTCAGTAGTAAACGTAATAACAAAAAATTATATATATTTATATCAAAAATTTAATTTGGATATATTAAAAAAAGTTAAATGATAAAATAATTGAAAGTTCAAGATATAATTGTAATTAATGAAAGTTTGAAGTTGATCAGCTTTTCAAAAGCTAAAAACAAAAACATGTACATAAAAAATGTTAATAAAATACGAACAAATTTGTACGTTTAATGCTTTAAAACTATGAATTTAATTTTAAATAAATACTGTACAAACATATATATAAAATTTACTTATATATTCAATTTATCTAAGTTTATTTCAATATAATGACATGAATGATTTCATACAATATAATAATCTTAATTTGGTGTGTTAAAGCATACAACGAAAAACAAGCAAACATTTCAAAATTCTTTAAAGATATCAACATACTAAAGAAAATCCTTTAAAGTTCTCCTCCCAGCACTTGTTGTTGATGTTGTAACCCAAATGGAACTGTAGAGCTGGTAGCATGCATGAATTGCAATATGAATACATGCCTAATCTTATCCCCTACTTTGCTGTAATTCAAACGCATTTTCGAAGAAAACATTGTTTTGGTATGAAAGGCCGTGATTGACGTATAAAACATGAATGGACGGTTGTACTGATTGTGTTGGCATTGAAATGTCTTCTGCCATCTTATGACAAGTAATGTTGAAATACTTGCTCAGTAGTTAATTATTTTATTTTACAAGAAGCATTTTGGACTTCACATCAAGATAATGTATAGGCCATAACGACTAATTGAAATTCTTATATTACGTCTCGCAGAGCAAAAAAATCCATAAATGAGTAGTAACCTTTTACTTTGGATTTTTGAGCAGAACTTTAACGTTAATGATAAGTACTTTTAATAAATCTACAAGAGAGAAAACAGTGAATAACAAAAAAAATTAAGTTTTATGTATCACTATACTTACTCACACCCGTATACATACAAGTTGCCCATCTTATTCCATAATCAAAAATTTATTAGAATAACGAGTATAAGATATGATGATATTGCAACCAGCGGCGTTCTATCTAAAGAACCCTTCTTCGTTTGAACATTGCAAACCCAAAAGTCTAACCAGAATTACTAAAGGTACTCTATTTTTACAAATGAGCAGCTCCCAAACATAGACTCCGCAAAGATTAAGCTATCATCCTTTCATATAGCGATATAGTTTACAAAGATATTGTTGTTAAAATCAATAAAAATGCTTTAAATATGCTGGTTGAGTTCTTGCAGAAGCCAAATCCAAAGTTTCCCATCTAAAAAGAAAATATGAAAATTTAGTTAAAATTAGTCAAAAACATTAGCATAAAGTTCTAAATCAATAAAGGCATTTTTAAATAAAAATGATAGAAATAAAAGAGTTTTATTTACTGTTGCCTTCTGCAACAGGAAAGTATTCAGTTTACCTTTTTGATATAAAGTGATTGCACTTATAAAAGAATCAACTTTTCTAGATCAAAAAAATTGCGCGTGTGTTATCGTATCTTAAGAGGAATATACATGCAGATATTTGAAAACGTTAATAAATAACAAATGGTTATAAAATGAGCTGCAACAATTACAAAAAAGAAGCAAAAAAAGAAAAACTAAATATTGCATATTGTACAATGACTGAGGAGAAAAGTCAAAGGACAAGGACTATACTTTTGCTACATGCTGAAATAAGGTGGCTTTTATTTGAAAAGACATAACGATTAAACTCTTGGTATCAGGGAAGAGTAGATCAAATTATTATAGCAATTAAGTAATTAAGCAAATAAATCTTTGAAACAGATTTTCAAAAATCCATAAAGATAATACACTAGGAACAGAAGCCAAGAATATTTATTTCTATTGTAGAAATTGATTTTATAACTAGTATGTGATACAATAAGATGAAGCAAACTAGTGTGAGGCAAAAGGATAGTAAGGTCTAGTTTAAGATAATTTAGCTTAGTTGGAGAGAAATGAAAAATGTTTTAATATAATGGAGCAATTTCAAAAACGAAGAGAGATTAGTTTGTAGTGAAAGTTAACATTATAAAATTACAAATCAAGAAAAATGTATATAAAAATAACATAAAATGTCTCACTTGCGATTCAAGGTATTTTAAAAGAAGCGCATCTTTAAACAGTAGTTCAACAATCAAAAAAAAAATTTTAAATTAGGGTTGCGTTTGGTAAAATGTTACATTTCAATAATAGAAATTTAAGTATTAAGCAAAAACAAAACTTCGGAATATGTATCTATTGAAGCATTTCATTTTCATCATGACTTCCACAGAATACCAAATTAAAATAAAGATGTTTTAACAACACTAAACCACTGAACGAAGTCCGAAATTTAGCTGCAATTAATGTACCTTGCAAACAATAAATATATATTTTAATTTTATGAACTATAAAATAAAATTGTAAAATTTAATTAAAAATAGATATGTAACATCCATCATCTATCATGTATATGTAATTGTAAATATTTTTCAAAATAAAACGACTTCCACCTAACAAGGATTCCAAGTCAGTTTGAAATTCTCACTAATATTATTAACAGCACCATATGAAGACACTATATATCTTAAGGAATTCTAGAGATTTAAATTTCACTCTAATTCGTCACTTGGAAAGTATATCTTACTTTTGGGTTTTGAATCTCACCAAACATACTGATATCATTTTAATTATAATGTCGGACTGCATGACATGATTTAGCATTCTCATCAAATGATATGTTGCTTTGTACAATAATCAGAAAAGATTTGTGATATATGAGCCACAACTTAATTCAATTTACTGATATGCGTATATTAAGTGTATATGATATTCATATAATTTTAGTGGTTAACAACAATATATACAATATATTATAAAACTAGTATTAATTACAATTGGGAAGATATTTTATATAATTACCAATTGTTACGCAGCTTAAAGCATTTCTTCTCAATCATCTTCATAGACGAGTTGCAGAAAAAGTATCTGAAACAAAATATGTCATTTATTATATATAAATTTAGTAACTTGTGCATTTCATATACCTTACCAAAGAGTCATACTTATAAAATCCTTGATGATGCCATAAAGGCATCGAAGGGAAAACCAGAACAAAATCCGATTATTTCATTTAGAATCAATCAAGTACACAAATATGAATTGTGGTTACAGAGGCATTTTAAATAACTAACCAATTCACACATCTCACAAGGCTTACACTTATCTTTTTCGGTATATTTCAAATATAGGTTTTCCATAACATTTTTAAATGTATTTCTTAAAGAAATATTTTGCAGATTCATCTAATTACCAAACTATTAAAAATTCTGCTTTAAAATCGGCAAATCTTCTCTAATGCGTCCCAAATTTTGTTTTCGAGAAATTGCGTAGTGCGAAATGCTGTCATTTTGCGTTTGTTGATTTTTCAGCGAAGTATGCATCTCAAAAGTGTTGGAAAACGCTGCAATTATGAATTATAGTTAATTTTTTTTTTGATTTGAATTAAGTTATCAAGCGCTAAAATGCCCAATTAAGTTAGAAATATTGAAATATAAGGCCTTTTCGGTTGCTCGCAAGTACGGCAAAAAATATATGCTGGCCTATATTCGCTAAGCGAGATATTAGCATTACTGTTTCAATCTGTCAAGTGTTATGTTTTGGCAAATAGCAAAAATAGCATAATGCGAGCCAATTACATACTGTATAAAAATAAATAATTAACATATATTGAAAATTAAAATGAATACATATTTAAGAGGAATTGAAAAAATGTTGAAAATTTCAAAATGAAATACTAAAATTTTATTTTTTTCTTATTTTTCGAATTTATGAAATTTTTGAATTTTGTTGGAATTTTTGTTAACATATGATTTTTGACATGTAATTGTAATATTAGTTGGAATTTCCAATGAAGGTTCACAATAGTTCAGTTATTACGTTGGCAACATTTTTTTCTTTACTGGAAGAAGAGTTTTCGCCAGTAAACAACTACTGATTTATATAGACAAAATAGTGCTGTAACTTATAAATTGGTGAAGTGATAAAATTACGAACATCTTTCCAATTCGTCTTCAGTAACGCTATAAAAATGAACCGTGGCATAGGCTGATTTTATGTTTTATTTTACATAAAAGCAAGAAAAAAATAAAAAAAACCGAACCTATTATTTGATTCTATTTATATTTCTTAATTTACAATTTTGTTCACATACCTTAAATTTTAGATTAAAATTAAATTTTCTGCTACTTTTTAGAGTAAAAAAAAATCTACTGATACTGTGCCAAATATCAAAAAATTATCAAACCTGATAAATCAGTAGCGTTGTACTGTCCGTTATACAAACAAAGAATTTCATTCCTATTAAAATTTTCTATAAAAAATAGTTTATACTAACTTGATAAATTTACATGAAAATTTTATTGAATAAATTTATATTTTATAAAAATATTTGTTGTAAATACAGAGTTGCATTTCAACACAAGCAGGTCATTTACATAAATATCTTTTTGAATACTTTTTAGTTTGGACTTTTCACTCAATTTCGGTATTTTATTTTATAATAATAAAGTTTGCACAAATATTTAAAATTGCGTCGATATTAGCTAAAAAATTTTGCTGCTGAGCATTTCATTTTGTGCTATCATAATTATTGCTGATATAAATAGTGCTATTATACAGCAGATTGATATATTTATACAAATATTTTACTAGGTGCGCTCATATCACCGTGTACGTACTACGTAAACGCATTAAATTATGCATTTGATAAATTTATATGCGTAGATGAGTACCCCTATTGTAATATATACGCGTATATACGACAGATATATTTAATTATATTAAGTACTGATGTGAATAAAAGAACAGCCTAACTTCGAAATATGAACGTGAAATATGAACTCTCTCAATGCATGACTTCATTACGCTGAGAAAGATTTTAAGTAGTGCTTCTTAAATTATTATAAAGTAATTTATAAATTATATAGTAATTTAGTAATAGTCAAATTATACATATATATATATATATATATTTGTTAATTATTAACTTTATATATATTAATTAGTTAAAATTGTTATTTCTGTCCCTCGTGTTTATTGCTATTTTATAATTTAGATTAACATTCTAGGTTTTCAATGATCTGTGGAGGCTTAGATAGCCACTATAACCTTTAGTCATTGGAGTTGCTAAATATTTGCAAACACACTATTTCTAAATAATAAAAATGTGCTATTAGAATTTCTTCTTGATTTAAAAATATTTAATGTAGAAAATATTGTTTACACAGCTTGCAGCGTTTCGTATAATAGTAACGATACGAGTATATGAATCTCTCGGATGTATTCTTTAACCGGACTCACTGTCAACGAAAGTTTAGTGCTTTCTCGCAGCTCAATATGAGATTTTGTGGCATAGTAATTTGGATAACTTTATGGATAAGTCAATTTATTGTAGAAGTAGATTTTGCTCCAATAGTGAGGGGAGAGATAGTCAAAACGGCTCATGGTAGTTTATGGATTTTAAATAAATAAATTAATAATAATAATAATATTAAGTAAAATGAGTTATTACAAAAATATTAAAATTCAACTTGCAGATGACATCAAACCATTCCCCTTTATGGTATCACTACAAGATCGAGTCGATGGGACCTATAATAAGCATTTTTGTGGCGGTAGTCTTATAGATAAAAATTGGATTTTAACAGCAGCGCATTGTGTTTGGAGAAAGTATGTGTGCACATCATTTTCTATTCAAATATCAAATGATAGAGTAATCGTCTATTGTTTATTGTCTACCTATGAAAGCAGAAATTTTAATTTAAACAAAATTTTTAATTAAAATTTTTCACGATGTTAATGTTTTGAAATAAATTCAAAGTCACACTTATTTCCAGAAAACTAACACTCATCGTTGCGGTAATCGGTTATGAAAACATTTCTAATGTTTCGGAGTTTTATAACGTAGATCGTGTAGAATATATATATTTTCAACCGTGAGTTTTGTTCTATAAATTTACAAATTAAGAAGTGAATATTTGTAAATATTCTTATAGCACCAATTATCAAAATGACATTGCATTGCTCCATTTGGAGGCATCTTATAAGCATCCGGAATTGGCTCTAAATCGTATTTATGGAAAACTTCCAATGTATGGCATGAGAGCGAACAGAAATAGTAATAAAGAAGTTATGCTAGATTTGATTTTATTTTTATTAAAATATCTTTAACAATTTTCACTTGTTAGGGCCGTGCAAAATTATAGGGTATGGTGCCACGCGTCATGCTGGTCAAATACAAGAGACTCTCATCGAAGGCGAAGTAAAGGTCATAACTAATAAACAATGTAGAGGGATTTTGGGAAATGTTTGGGCACCGCAAAAAGGCGAAAACACTGTTTGTGCACTAGGAAAGCAAGACACTTGTCAGGTAAGATTTATCTTTTATCAAATATATGTAATATGAAGATATATAGTACATCTGTAAGCGAAGAGCAATGACCAATTCGCTATATTATGTACAGCTCACGATATTGTATAATCACAATACAAAAACCTATTTATTTGGGAAAGATTCTAATAGAAAGTTATTTAAAAATCAGAAATTTCAAAATAATGTGAGCATTACTATGTAACTCGAAGATACATACATTAACTAGATATATATTTAAATAAGATTTCTTACCCAAATTTTAAAAAAAGAGTTTTTACCGGACCTGCTGTGGCACTTTTGTTTTAATATTGAATAAATAAAAGAAAAAAATTGAATAAACGATTTAGCAATGCTGAAAACTCTATTTTAGTAATCGGGGGATGATCGACTTTAAAGAATTGAAATTAACATTAGACAGAAAAATTTAAGGAAATGAAGTGTAGAGATACTCTTTTGTTAGAAGAGTATGGCTACACGCCAAAAATAAATCAATAAATAAATAGCTGATTTTTAAATAAATCAGCTGATATTTTCGAGTAACCGATAGAAAGTTACATAATGAAAAAATTTGGGTTAGTAATTGCCATTAACGTAGAGTCTTTACACCAGTTCAGGCATTTATTCCGAAGCTCCTCACATGCTTGATTTGATGGGAACTGATTTTAACCAAACTGAAGAAGCAATAAAAAAAAGGTAGGACGGTTAGCGTGTTGTTATAAAAACTTCAAATTTCTGGACTAAAACGTGAGTTATGTTTAGAAACTCGGAATTGTTTGAAAGAAAGATGGTTCACCAAGCATATTGCCCTATTCGAATGGACGACGAGACTTTCAAAAGACTGCTTAAAAATGAAAATATAGTAAGATTTGTCAAAACACAAAGATTGCAATGGGCAGCTCACGTTGTAAGAATGGGACCTGAAAGAAATCCGGCCAATATATTTAATGCTAATTCGAAGCTGAGATGAAGAACAACGAGTACGAGGACGCCAGACAACTCGGATTTCTAAATTGGAAATCAACTGCACAAGATCTAAGCAGATGGAGGCAGGTTTTGAAGTAGGCCAAGGTTCATACTGGACTGCAGTGTCAAATCAGAAGAAAATGTTTAGATTAGTTTATTGTATAAACTTGATTAAAACTAACAAAAAACTAAAAGAATCTAGTCTACTTATAACTACTGTAAATAATGTTTTATAATATATATATACTTTTTCTATTTATTTTTTTTATAGGGTGATTCTGGGGGCCCCCTTATTTGCAATTACAATGGACGCGACTATATATATGGTATTGTTTCCCATGGCCTCACTTGTGGCATAGTTGGTGTGCCGAGCATCTACACCGTAACTATACCCTACATTGATTGGATTAGATTGATTGTTAACGATTAAATTATTGAAAATTGTTTTATTCAATAAAGTTTTATCTATAAATTTTGTGCTCTTTTAGTGTATAATAAATATAATATAATATTTATAATATAATATAATATAATTGTATCTAAACTGTTTGGGGTATATAATTACTTATATAGAAATTATCTAAATTTAACTAATTATGTACTAAATTTGTACATCTTGAACGTATATATAAATATAAATATTACTTAAATTTATATAGAAGGAATATTGTTAATATTTGTCATTTTCAGATTTTTTTCCACTCGTATTTATAGTTGTATTATCACTTTCGGATGGAACTTCCTCAATTCGATCGGACAGTTTAACAGTACTCGTTTCTGGTAAATTAATAGTCAACAATCCAGCTACAAAAACGCAGCAACCACAAATAGTAGTTGGTATATACCAACCTAATTGTCCCTGCAAAAAATCATTAAATAGTGTCGTTAGCATGTGAAAGAATATATTAATTCCAAATTATGTACTCACCAAAATATCAACTATGTAAGGAGCCGATATGGAGCCCACATGTGCCCAAGTCGAACATGTGCCTAATGCAGAGTTCCGTATTTCCGTAGGGTACAGTTCGGCAGTATAAAGTGTCACAATAGAATATGTTGCACTTATGCCAAATCTACCGAGCATAGCAAAGGATATTATCCAATCTGTTATATTGAAGACATAAAAGACTTTTCATTATACATAGTCGTTCTATTATTATAATGTGATTTGTAATTTTAAATAATGTTCAACCGCCAAAAAATATATTATATCAATGAATCAATTTTTATAAACTTACCTGAGGGCATCACTAAAACTAGTAATAACGCTGTTCCAGTAAGTATAAACAGGAACATTGTTGTTGGGCGCCGTCCATTATACTTGAGCAATATAATTGGCAAAATATAGGATGGAATATCCACTATGCCTGTTATGGCTACATAAAGATAACGACTCACAGACAAATTTGCAGCATTTAAGGCTGGAATATGAAAATAAGATCTCTTCTTACACAAACTGTGGACCAAAAAGTATAAATATATAGGTATCTTACCAGTTACATAGTAACTAAGGGACGAAACACAAAACATAAAATAGGACGTAAGGATTAATTTTCGCACTTTCCATGTTGCGAACAACGCAATGAACTGCTTTAATGGACCTTCTTGTATTTTAACCCATAATGACGTCGGTTTTTTTTCCATCATCTGCAATATGAAGACAATCTGTGTTCAAAAACTTATAAACTTATAAAACTTATAAGACTGATTTATTTTACATACATATACATAAATAACTACATTATAGATAACTAGTTATGAAGTATGATCAAAAAAAATATGTTTAAAAATGCCCCTACAAAATATAATGGGTATATATATACTATATATGGGTCACTTGACAATAGGCTTTTATCAGTATATCTATAATACTAGTTTTAATTAAATGAGTAATGTATATTATTTCTCCGATATTACATACTCATTCTTTTCTGAAATTTATGTTAAGCGAGAGAGAGGGAGAGCTCGGGGTATACAAATATACTAAATATAAACACGTTTTTCAAATTTTTAAAATAGAATTTTAAAATTCATATATATTATATTCTAAATTGAAGTTCCGTTTGCTTGATCTATTTTTACGGTTTCCTCGGCTGACTAAACAGTATTTGAACGATACTATTGAAAACTATATTAATTTGTGGTGAGATGCTTTATCTCATCTAAAATTCAAGAAAAAACCTAGTACTTAAACATGGAATATCCGGTTCAGTGCGTGCTTGCAGAATTCATCAGTTTCACAATGAATCTCGTGATAATCAAAGTCTATAAATGTGCGCTGCATGCTACTTACTTCTTTCTTGGTGTTGGTACTGATAATTTCGTCAGTCTTCTCAATCTCATAGTGGCTTCGTTGTTTGAAAATAATTTTGTACGCTTGAGCATACCGTTTTTTGGTGATAAGCCACCGAGGTGATTCATTAAGTAGGCTATAAGTGAAATAAAAATAACATTAAATTTAATAGATTAAAATGAAATAATATGAAATGTATTTTTTTAATATTTGTGCATCGTATGAGAATACGATATGACATACTAGCAATTAAATATCAGCAATAACGCCGGCACCGAAAGTGTCAATTGCAGATAACGCCATGATGTTATCAAATACGAAGCAATAGCAAGGAAAATCATTCCGATGGGATAAGATGCGGCAAAAGCAATTGACATCCAAGAACGATGCTTGAGGCAAACATTTTCCACAACTGAAAGAAATATAAATTATAATGATTTTAACGTTGGATACTAAAGTGTACTCATAGTACTCATTGTAAATGCTGCATAGAAGAGACCCGATGAAGCTGCTCCCAAGCCAAAACGACCCACCAAGAATAAATTGTACCAAGGTGTAAAAGTACAGATAAAGCTAGATACGACATACACTAGGGCGCCCAACGAAAACGATGTCTTGCGGCCGAATCTATGAAATTGAAAAGTACTGTGAACAAATATTTTAATATGAACGTAAGCAAGTATATATAGTGTGCTTCGAGAGTGGAATGTAATCCCTCACTTTACGACTCATAAAAAAATTTCGTTGAGATCTGAAGTTTAAAGACAGAGTCTATATCAAAAAGATTTTTAATAGATAATGAAGGTGATTGGAAATTTTTTACAAAAATTATTTAAATTTTTATACAATTCCGAAGTATTTTATCCTCACATATTTAGTACACAATATATACATATTTACCATATTTAAAACTTACTTATCGGCTAATATTCCGAATGTAAAGGACCCAAAAAATTTACCCAGCGATACAAACATTTGTGCAGAAGTGCGCTGTATGGAGCGATCACAAACTAAAGTGGGCATAGTTGGAATATATTTAATATTTTATTTAATTTAATAATAGTGTAATGACTTGGTTTGGCTCACCTAACTCCCATTCAGCTACAAAAGTACCGTCAGGTTCATCAAATTCTATAAATCCTCCCTTTTTGTTACATTCAATCTCTTTGGGTGGCTGATCACTTGCTAACATTTCCATTGTATAAATTCTAGCTTCGTCATAAGTTTTGGTACTATAGCCAAATACAATTGTAAAGACCAACTTGTTTTCTATGGGTAATAATTACCTTAGCAGTTCGTAATTCCAATCCTTGATTGTACAGCCATTTGTAGTTGTGTTGCCCTCCACTATAGTTCGCTTCTCTTCAAGTGTCCAATTTGTACTACCAAGCTCAGGAACATTACACCATTTATCTGCCGGCAAATATCCGAGCAATGTGTAAGAAGAAACATGAAAGCCGTTTAATATGTTCGGTGTTACGCAGAGAAAAAATAGAGTCCTTTCGAGAAAAAAGTTCATGATTATTAGAAATCTATGTAAACAGATTGAAAATGACAATCGAAAATGATATATAATAAGGGTACTTATGTAAGCATATAAATTCATCAAATGTATGATTTTATACGTTTACGTACATGGTTATATGAACGCACTTAGTGAAATATTTGTATAAATTTATCAATCTGCTGCATGATAGCACTATTTATATTAGTGATAATTATGACAGCACATAATGCAATGCTCACCAGCGCAATTCTTTCAACCAAACGTTTACCCAATATCGGATCAATTGGATCGCGACCCAGTTGATAAATTATCAATAAATTATAAAATAATATACTGAAATTGAGCAAAAAGTGTTAACTAATAAGTATTTTCCCTCTCATGAATATTGTTGAAATTGTGGAGATAAGGATTTAGAAGAAGCAGTAAACCACTTTTATTTCAACGGGCCAGCTCTAGCGGACCAGAGCGACGTTCTTAAGCATAATTGTCTAAGCTCCCTTAGAAAAGTAATTAGCGCATTATAAGAGCTTCGAAAATGTTCTATAAATTAATAGTAGGTAAGATCCCGTAAATCCTAAGTAAGTTGTGTAGTCTAACTAGGTGTCACAGCAACCTAACTTAACCTACATTAGTCTAAATCATTATTTATCATTTTGACGACCCCTCAAATCCGTTCAGAAATTAAGTTAAAATCTGGTCTGGCTTGTAATAATGAAAATATAACAATTCCGAATGCTGAGGTTATAATTCTGGTATAAGCCAAAGTTCGGAAGGATGAAGTAAATTCTTAGAGAATCAGTTGAAGTGAACATGGAGCACCAAATACTCAAATAAGCGAAAAAAATATGGAATAATAACCATTAAGGCGGACTTGATGACAATGAATAGAAAACATTCGGTCCGAAGGAATGTTGTAAACAAGATCAAAAAAATGCAGTAGCTGTTAATGAAGAAAAGGGAAGAGATATTGACAGCAGCTGTGAAAATGTCTTAAAACAACAAACATTTTTCTTATTCATAGAGGAACATTTCTTAAATCATTCTTTCAGTATTGAAAATAATATTCTTGCTGTTTTACTATTTTAAAATGTATCTCTAATGATGCTGTGTTTCATTCTAAATTCTTTATTATGTCTATCTCATAGGTAAGAATACATTGCTTTTAATGTCATGAGTTTCTTATAAAATCTCTTCCCCAAGCCTTATTTGTATACACCCCTTTAGAACAACTGATGCTAATCATCCTAGCACTGGATGCATATTAACTCTGTAAAAAATGTGTGGCATCTGACTAATGGGCATGTGTATGTCTTTCATTTCTGACAGTTAGTCTGCTTTACAAAATCAAGATCAAGACTAATTAAAAAAATTGCTTAAATGTTTAATTACAGAAATAAATTATGAGTAATTTGTTGGAAATAAATAATTGCACTCTGCTATATGCGACTTCAAGTGCCATTATGTATGCAAATGTATGTTCTTCCCATAAATAGAGCTCTTTGAGTAAAGTACGATGATTTGTGGCATGTAAACGTATGCATGTTTATGCGATTGTTACATGATGATACATTATTACAACAAGTTCAAGTGAAAGACATATTTGTTATTATAACTGTAAGTACTAAACACAGCTTTATAATAACAAAAAAAAAATCAATTGTCCAGTATTTCTTAGTATCAATTGAATGAGAATTATCTTGTGTATGACTCTGTCTATCTACTAAAAAGTAAAAAAATAAATCAAAGTTGTAAGCAACCTCAGAATCTTGCTCTAAAGATTTCAAGGTAGACAAACGAAAATGTTTAAATCAATATCTTAGACCTTTACAGTTTCATAATTATTCTAATATACTTTCTTTAAATTTTTTCTCACGCTTGCAATCAGTGATCAATTGTGTCGTACAATACGAGTAGAATCTCTATAAGTCGAATCCTAAGAGAAGTGCAGGAGTTTTGGAATTATGGAGGTACGTATATTTCATTACGTACTACTTATTCTGCACTTCATTGCATATATAGGTACTTCAAAAGTATATATAATATTCTTACTTCATGTTTTATAACGATTCATGTTTAGTGGACATCGGTCCACTAGTTTTGGCAAAAAATTAATAACTGATTTAAAAAAGTGTCAGGAATTATACTGAAAAACCAGAAGAATAAGAAAAAACGATTCTCTAAAATCTGTGTATTGCAAATATTTTCTATTGCTATCGCTTAAAGCATTAACAGTTAACATAATAACGTTAGAATAGATTGCCTTTGACAGTTTTGCGAATAATATTTTTCTGGCACTTAAATTTCAAAATTGTATATTGTGATTTAATGGAGTTGGTAACAGCTAGCCCGTTCACTCCGTCTTCTTTTGCAGTTTCGCAAGAGTGGATTTAGCTGTCATAATGAAAGCGACACAACAACACAGTATAGATGACCTGATGATTTATTAATAGATGAAATTTTTTGCAGTTGTTCAAGACTGTATTTAACTGCCTTACTAAAGGCGGTACCATCATACAGCAAAGATGCCCTGGTCTCTGGCTTATACATGAGAAATTTATTGTCTGTGGTTTAGCTTTTTGGTTTTAAAGAGAAATTGAAGCTGATAATGACAACAATACGATATATAAGACCTGATGATTTATTAATGGATGAATTTTTTAATAGATGAACTTCTTAATATAGCAATTCATAAATATAAGTTAGTGAGTGACTTAACTCTACAAATAAATGCGTACCAGATGTTAAGAATGTAAAGATTATACATGATCCATTATTAATTCTAAAATTCCTGAATTTTTTTTGTAATATGTCACCACATTATAAACAAACAAACAAACGCAGTGTTACTTTGTAATCATTTAAATACTAACAAAATTTTGAAGTACGAGTTTTTTTAATTATATTCACTATATTTAAATAACTCAGCTTGTTGTTTTACTTCCTGAAGAGAATTGTCGACTTTATCGCCAGATTACAGCTGAGGAATCTGTGTTAATGAACCTTTCCTCTCCCACAGAAACGAAGACGAACTTTAGAGTTTTGAATGCGAAACACACAAATTTCATTCATTCGGTGGATTGAATGCATATAAAGCTTTCGGTGATAAGTAAATAAAAATTTTTAAGTATTTATGGCATTTTGAAAATTTATTATTAACTTAAATTGGAGGTTAATATTCGACGACATATTAAACATAAAGCAAATGAGTTTAGAATTTTAATGAAGTTTTATCATTTATTATTCAGTAATACTGTTTCACTTAAAACAAGTTATTTAAACAAAATTATATTCAATATTTCATGTACACGTCACTTGTGTCTCCAATAAAACATATTTAAGGCTACAACTTGAACGCCTTACCGATCTCGAAAATCCGGAAATGATTAAAATTGCAATTTATGCAATTAGTATTTCCGAACTCCTGATTATTATGTTAAGTCAAGATTGAATTTAATACACGTAGTCTTATACATATATACATATATATCTTTCGCCACTTTTAATTTCTTAATTTCTTATTTCTTAATTTCTAATTTCTTCATTTCAAGCAAGTAATCAAACACTAAAACCATTTACTCCTTTACCACCCCTAATTTCTTAAAAAAAAATAATTTTGTATGATAAGTGGAAGAGATACTAAACTTTTTATAATATCAGTGAAGTGTATTAAAAAACTAAATATTTAATTAAAATAGTTACTTTGATAGTTAAATGAATGGTCAATTAAAATTAGAAAAATTCCAAACGTAATTATCGCATCAGGCGGTATTTAAACTTTTTTATTAAAACAAATAACATACTATACACGATAGCTGAAGGAAACTGAGACTACTGAGACTTCTGAGACCACTGCGCTGATAAAATGAAATTTAATCAGACAGTTCATATATAGTATTCATGTAATATACATGTTAGAGATTATAATTGGCACGACAGATGTGTCGATCTGCGTTGATTGATAACAATTTAAATACTAAATCCCTATCATGCATATTAATGCAGTGTAAAGTAACTTAGACGCAATTAAAATTATATTCATTTTACTATTAGTAAAGGTTTTTTTAGAATTCCAACTAATGACAAACCATATATTAATTTAGAAATGCAGTGTTTCCACAGGCTAAATTATAGGGTATATTATAGTGTAACACAAAGTCAGTAACATTTTAAATGAATTCAATATTTTGAAAATATTTATACAGACATTTTCTATATAATTTATTTTCACGTTATATTTTCTCTTTTTTAGTGCTGTTACTTGCACTCTTTTGTATTTTACATATGTATTTTACACATATTAAATATGTTTAGCTAAACTTTAATGATGTTAAAAATTTTTAATATGACCCATATCGCCACGTTCAAGCTAATAATTTAAATTAGCTTATTATAATCTTAATCTTATAATCTTAATCTTATTCTTGCTATTTAATTTTTAAATACGTGATCTGTTGATTAATTCGCCATGTAGCAAATTGATCGATAAATCTGTGGTAACTATTTCAATCGAAATGCACTTTTAGTGTAATTTTCATTTTAGATTGGTAAACTCGAGCAAAATGTACAACACTTCCGACTAATTTATAACACTTTAGATATTTAGCCAAAGTTGTAGATTAGGTTTGGATAGGTTACTGGGAACGTCCGAAGACGCTTTTAGACCATGACGTCCCTTGTGAAATTATCAGCTGTTTTATATGACTTGACGGGTAAAGTTTGATTTGATTCGACATATGTATTTATGAGAAATATAATGCTAACATAACTACATAAATTTTAGATTGCTCAAAAAACTTTTGATTGATCAACAAAATTTGACAAATCGAGAGTAAAACTAGGTTGAATCCAGATCACCAATCGAAAACTTCATATGTTTTCATTGAGGGTTGAAAGGTGAGTGATTAAGGGCTTATTGAAAAAAAATCAGTAATCTTAAGACAACCGAATTAACAGGTAGTCAATTATACTAAAGGATTAAAGCGGGTTTAACGATTTATAAAGAATATTAAATTCACAGTAATGAGATTACAAACGTCTGTAAAACGAGAGTTTGACTTCTTTATAGAAATCTATAAGCTTCATCACGCTTCATGATATTCTTTCTGGATATTATCAAAGATGATTCAAATCTGTAGCAACGATATAACCCGTCAATTTTTCAATTTAAAAAATAAACTGACAAATATGGAAATAATGAAGCCTATATTAGTTATTATTGACCCAAGTTGGTCAAGGTCGGCTACATATTTAACTTTTTTTGTTAGAATTAAGTTCACAATTCGTATTGAGGGCGGCAATTATATAAACTTTACCACCAAACTTAACTCCAATTTATTTTCACACAATATTTGTTTTTAAATCTTTAAAATAACTTTTCCGAAATGTTTTATTACCAAACAAAAGCACCTCCACTCCCGATGCGTTCCAACTCATTTGTCACAATTTCCTTGTAAGTCTCCTCGCGTATCAATTCTTTACTTTTCTCCGCAGAATCTTTAGTCATTCTAGGTTTCGTTACTTTTTAACAATAAGAAACAACAACAATAACTAAAAAAAAATAAATTGTGTTGAAACCGTTGTTATTGTTGTTGCTGCTGCTGCTGCTGCTGTTGTTGAAATCAAAACAAAACACAATAAAAAGTGCAAGGAAAAGCAAATGAACAAAAATCAAAAGTGCAACAACACTTCGAAGCTTAATTCCTTGACATTGACTTTTCGATAATTCTTGGGAACGAATTCAAAACAATAACAAAACTAAAAAAAAGCGCGTATGTTGTTGTTGTTATTATTGCCTCTGCTCTCAAAGCTTGTACAGCGCAATTGACTTTCACTATCGAATCTCAATTTAATATTGAAACTATTAATTCATTGGTTTTATTTGGGTTTTTAATTTATTTTATTTAAATCGTACACATTCCGCATGGCATTTTGCAACTGACAGCGATTAACGAGCGATTATTCCATTTATATATTAATTTCGTATATTATTGTTCTACTAATGAAATTTATGTATTGTATATTAATTAGTCTGCATTTAATTAAATTATTTTAATTTAGAACTTTTAGACGAAAACAAAACAAAACCGAAAACAAAAACAAAAACAAGAATCCGAATCTGAATCTGAATCTGAATACGAAAAAAACGAAACGTTCCAACTTGCGATTTCTAAATTCAATGTCCAACTGCACGAGTTTCACTGGCTGATTGCGTATGATGAACTGAAGCGGCTTAGCCGCCGCGAATAGGTAAAAGCGCTCGCTGCTGATTCAAGTGCTATTGAATGTAGAAATTTTGAATGTTGAATGTTGAATGTTGAATGCTGAATGCTGAACGAAGAGAGTTTTCATACACACAGTGGCGGTTTAGCGAACGCAGCCGAAACATTAATACAGCTGAACTAAAACTCAAGTCTCACTTTAGCTGAGACGTTAGCTTATTATCAGTACGAACGAAAGTAAGTACGAACGCATTTAAAATCAAAATTGTTCGTGTTTCTTTCGCTTTCATTCATACTCACACTTAAAGAGTCATTAAAAGTCTAGTCAATCCTTCCGTTTTTGTATGGATTTGTGATAAGAATTGTCGTTAAATGCTGGCGACTTTTTCGGCTATATCTCAGTCCTAATAGCTCAGTCAATAAAATGAATTTCAAAATTCTGTTACACCCATATTCTTCAGTTGTTGTTTTAAAGAAATTGATTTTTGCACTTGTCACTCAAGACAATGGCTCTGGCTGAACTTTCAGAAAGGATAAAGCTTATACATTCCTTATGGAAAAACCACCCTAATAATTAGTATTTCTTCTAAGTCTATGTCTATGTTTTTCAATCCCCAGTTTTTTTTTTTCTTGACAAATATACATTTATTTATTGTATCTTTTTTACAATGAGGATAACAAGAAATTTTAAAATCATATCACTAATTACCTAATATTACGATTTTTATTTTAATTATACATTGTATAATATAAAATAAAATAAGTAAACCTCATATCACGGACCTCACTTAAATCAATGGGTTAAATTTCACTGGAGTGAATGTTAGATGGTTTATAAAGAAAGCAATTCAACTTTATCAGATTACTAAAAAGAAAGGTGCGGTTTTTACTTCAAGCTATGGAATGTTAATTAATGGTTGTACGGGTCAGGCAGAAAGTAATGGATAGAAGTGCGAGACATATTGTATTTTTTTCTTATATTGTTAAATTCAGCTTTAACTAAGGGAATTTGTAGATCTCGGTGAATACTTTCATTCCTAATATACAATGGCGTAACAGTAATTGTTCTCAGTATTTTTGACTGTGCGCTTTGGGTAATTTCCATATTTGAAGCATTAGCATTACCAAATAGCTGAATACCATAAGTCCATATTGATTGTATGATACTGTTATACTTTAGGCACTGTAAGGATATGTTATTAATGTGCCAGTGCAACTAAGAGGCTTGGAGCTTTATTAGTATTTTTTGACTTTAATATGCTTGCGCCAAGTTAGTTGTCTGTCTAGGTGAATACTTAAATACGTTATATTATTAGTATTTAAAATTTTAAATACTTAAATACTCGCAAAGCTACAAAACTAGCTATAAAACAGATAAACGGAAAATATATCTTATAGGAAAATAATACATGTCTTATAAATATGACTTATATATATTAGTAAAATATATCTCATATGTGTGTGGAATATGTTTTGGTATGTAATTGCTGCAGTTATGTGACTGTGGAACATGCTTCTATATGGTATTCTAGAAACATCATTTTTTCCGATATGGACTCCCATACCATATTTGTATATAAAAACAACAGATTTGTTCAGATTCACTTTTGTCAAAAAAGTTGGACTGTTTTGAATAAATTTAAAAAACTGTTGTTGTTGATCATACTTTTTTTATAATTCATTCCTAATAAGTGATTGCAATTCGTATATGTAAACTACGTACCTTCGGCTGATATGGGAAAAAGCATGAATTGTATCTCAACCATTAGATTGTATTATAGGTATTTATTATAAATAATAAACTGAATAGGATTATTTTCAGAAGCAAAATATGAAATTCCTATCAATGCTTTTTCGCCGGTTGTCTTTGAATTTTAATAGACCAACTAGAAGTCTTATGAGTATATGTTGAATGTGCATGTAAAGCATTGTTCTAAAATTTCGAGATGAATATTCAAAAGATATATAAATTATTTGTAAAATATTAGAACTGAGAAATGAATTCATCGTCGTAATTGTCACTAGTCGTTAACTTTTCATCTCTTTTTCTCAAATTGCAACTGCAAAGAGACGAATATTTCATTGAACTGTTAATGAGCTGTATTATATGATTCTTTCAAATATTTCAAATCTTCCCTTCCTCTCTAAGCATTATCTTCCACAATCGTCATTTGCATAACAATCTAAGCTAATAATTTATCACAGATTTGAATTTAATTTGCTAAATTATTTATTTTGCACCAAATTAGCACTCATTAATTTACGGTAGTTGATTGGAATAATTGCTTTAATGTTTGTGTTTCGATACAGAAAAACACTCTAAGATTAAAATGATTTAATTGAATTTCTCTCAAATAAATGATGATGTGTATTGTTTTACATTTTTACAACGTTTTCAACTTTTTCAAATGGACATACATGCGATCATAACTACAAAAAATAATTTGAATGGTGCGAAGAAGTTAATTTGTGAGCTTCGAGCACGAAACGATGATTGTGATTATGATAGTCACAACAAATCTTAAAAATAAATTGTTATATATATATATATATTTGAAAAAGCCGGCACCACATCTCAGTCAGTATGTTTATTAGAGAGAAATTGTATTTGCTCTTAAAGACGGTAGGTATTTTATTTATAAAAATATATTTAAGAATCACACAATATTCTTCTGAGAAATATTATATCTGAAAATCAAGTAAATATATATCGTTTTCATTAATAAATATTCTCAAAACTTATTTGTTTAGTTTTTGTATTATGAAAGCATCACCCTTTCTAAACGATGTTATCGTTGTGACTTTTAGAAAATTCGTTTTTTAGAAAATCTTCTTTTTAGAAAATTTTGCTTCCAAAAATTAACGCAAAATTGCAATTTGCCACAATTCACTCAGTAAAGTGGTGGCAACCCTATTAAAAAAATTTTGACTGACACGATTTAGGGTCGTAAAAACCCTACACATTGTTCTTGTCCTGCAACATTACAGGACTGAATGACGAGTTTTCATTGTTGATTCCTCGATTCTAAAGAGAGTAATTAAAAAACTTAGATAGACTAGATCAATTGATGATGCTTAACACACTGGTCTCCCAAAAACAACCCACTCAAATGACACAGTGCTTTATGCATAAATTGTATGATATCGATGTGGACTCCATGTTGTTTCAACACGACAGAACCACATGCCATAAAACCTGCTAAGCAGTTCAATACTGTCTTTCCTCGGTTGGGTAATAAGAATTGACCATCTATATCGTAAGATTTAACATCATTGGAATTCTTTCTATGGAGTTATTTGAAACTAACGGTCTATGACAACAAGCCCTCACGCACGCTTGCATTAAAGGAGCAAACTCAAGGTTGTCTCAATGAAATTCAGTCATATTTATGCGAAATCGTCTTGAAAAACTTCAGCTGAAGCCATTGAAGCCAGTTGTCTTATATATCATTTCATAGATAATCCTATAGTCTTCAATAAAACAGTACTTATTTTGGGATATCCGCTATACGATAAGAAGAGCGCCATCGGTCAAAAACCTCAACCATTTTAAGCAGAGTTCTTTTTTGCCTTCCTCATTATATGAGTTACTTGCTCTTATATAATCTGATGTATTACAAAAATCTGATACTTCAATATCCAATTACTGCATTAATTTCATGAAGACCTCGAATTTTAGAGTTTCTTTTCGATTTCTAGTTCATGATATAGTAACGCTAATAAATCGTTTAATATAAATTTATCGCTACTGAAAAAACTGAGCAATGAAAATCAAAGTCAGAAGAAATTTTACGCACAATACTAAATTTGTTGAGTATTGCATAAAATCAGTTTAAGTGGACAACTTAACCTACTTTGGGCAAAGACACTTAACTACGTAATTCTAGATACAATGCGTATTTACGTATTTGCGTATTTGTAATTCATTCAAGAACATCTCATATACAATGCCAATAAAACATATATTGTATATGAAAAAGTTTCATTAAGAAATACATATTGTTGTTTATTTTTTGTACTTCAAATAAAGTAATTCAAATCAATACAAAAGATATTAAACACATAGTGCTTTGTTGCAATTCAGTTTGAGATATTTTATCTCAACACACTATTTTACTTGGAAAAGTATAAAATGCATGCGTTGATCAATTATCAAAATAACTTCAAGATTTACGATTCGAAAATATCACCGCTCCTTAACTCGACATAGGTTAGATTAGGTTATACCGGTGTTCTCTAGTAGATCCATTTAGGCCTATTGGCCCTTTGTGTGACCGTATATATAGGAAAAACTCAGGGTTTAAAACCACCTATTATGTTGTAACTATTTGAGCCAGTGCACTAGAGTAGTTTTACTCTCTATTAACTTCGAGGTATTTTCAAGATACCTCTTTACACCTTGACTGGATTATTGTTTATAAACTTCATCAGACTAAGCGATAATTGATCTCAGATCTGCATACCTCCTCGAGGAGCCTGTAACCATTCTGAAATTCGATAACACGGTGTTGATAAGCCTGTCAATTTTCGTAAATAATTTCAGGGCTCTATTCTTATATACTTTTAAATCGGATTGCGACAGATTTGATTGAAAGGGATACCTAATCTTCTAGCATGGTTCCCTAGTTTACACTGACCTATAAGTAAACCTACCAAGAGACTGATATCTCTACGGGGTATCTCAATGAGAATTTTGGATTTCCTTTTATCGGAACGTGATCAAATTGCATACGAAAATCTCCTTATGCTTTTCATATTAATTAATCGTACTGAGTCCTTGTTTAAGAGATAAATTTTGAAAGTAATATAAAGACTGATTTTTTCGTAATTGATTTTTATATTGTGACATTGACAACATATTGAATTGGTGGGAAAATCATCATGATAAGATCTATCCAAGAGCATTGTTTAAGAGTAATGGATTTATTTTTCCTAAAATACTATTCAATAAAACCAGCTTAGTCGACAATTCGAAAATGGAATGGAAAAGCCACCATCTAGAGTTCGCACAGATAAATATTTCAGCCAATATCAAAGAAGATTCTGATTTATCAAGTTCGAAGAGCGGTTGGAAAATTTTAAACAAGGATATTGTTTGAGGTCTTTGCAAGTTTTGATTGGTGCAAAAATTGAAACCGCATAATCAAATTTTGTAGTGTGATTTTCATGAATTGGAACTTTATTGGTTAATAGCCGACTTAATTTGATATAGCAATATTTTGTTCAGATTTTGATTTCAAAGAGATGATGCCATATGCAATTCTTATCGAATTTGATGACAAAAATACTTTTCCCTTAAACTTTCTACCAAGATCTTTAGATCTGGAGCCGCTGGACCAGTTTTTATAGAGATACTTCAAAACATCGATATATATCAATATGTAAGCCAGCATCTATGTCAAAATTGGTAGTCAAAATCGCTAGCACTATTCATGTATAGTGCTATTTGAAATACTATTCGTATTCTCAAATCTCTTTCTATCAGTAGCTATTGATTTTAAAAAATTCGCATATATCATTTTTTGTTTTATTTAACAAAAAATTTAATGAAAGTGTTTAATTTAATGAAAGTGTTTCATTATGACCGGCACGACTCCTCCCAACGCGAGGAATGATTGTGACTTACTTATTCTAGATGTTTAGCTGTGGGACAGATGTCCTATGCGAGGTTATCGGTGTATTAAGAACAAGTTCTACGTCTATAGTTTAAATTATGAGTTTTTGAGCAAGAATTATTTTTACGTTTAGTATTTTGAATTTTATTTTACCACTCCCTTCTCTAAAGCACATATGCCATCTTTCATATTATTGTTGGACATTTTTGGATTTGTACAGTATGCAGCATCATATTGCCAAGAGACATACAAATATTTCTATGTTTTTGATATTGTCTAATTAGCTTTTATGCGTACATATGTTAGGGCGCTACTTTAATTGAAAACATTTTCACAGCATACTTTCAGGCAGATTTTATAAATATTTCTTATCTTATTCCAATAAACAAGAAATTCAGAACAAAACAAAATTCAAGAACTTTTCTGCTTCTTACTAAAATTAATTGTCTTTTTTCCTTCCCTCAACAACAAACAAAACAAAAAAACGTTTTAAACGGTGAACATAAAATTTTTATAAATAGATTTATTTCATTATTATTAATTATTTATATAATGAATAATGAATAAAAACCAGAGTGTAAATTATTTAAATAACCAAACGGTTGTGCTCTGATGTTAGGTACAAAACTTATATTCCAAATAAAAAACGTATAAATAATTTGTAAATTTTCCAAATTTTGCCGTTTATGGATTTTTTAGATTTTTTAAAGACCTTGACCACTCAACCAATCATCTAGAAAAATCAAAAAAAATGGACCATCGTTGAGAAAACCCAGCGAGTTAAATTAAATATATTAAAGTGTTCTTTACATTAATTGAATTGCCTTTTTGTGTTAAATATTTCCACACAATAGTTCAGTTCAGTCTTATCAATTTAGTCTATTCAATTCTCAGTTAATCGGGAAATAAATTCTCAGTTAATGTATTTGAGTTAAAGTATGGCAAGTGTAGGTGAACACCTGCCCGCAGACTATTTGCAATTAACTAGTTTGACGTTACCACCATTGGATAATGTCAACGTCTTGTTCGTGACAACTGGTAAAAATGACTTATTTATGAAATTTAAATCTTAAAATCTTAAATCTTTAAATCTTAATCTTAAAATTTAAATCTTAGATTTAAATCTTAAATCTTAAAATCAAGTCACTCGTTAGTGAATTAGGAAGTCAAACACCCTGAAACAGTTTGGTTTATAATAGCTTAGACGCAGAAGTGACACAGAAAATGTTCGGATTTCTTGTTCAGATACTATTAAACCTGCAGAAGACATAGGAAGACTTGTACTCAGTACGCATGTAAAAATGGTTAATTTTTAACCCAGTGCATTTCTTTTTTCGCGGGAAAAGTTCTTTGAGATGAAATGATCTATTGGCAATGACATGCATCTTTAAGATCTTTTTCTGATATTGATATACTGATATTATTACAAAAATTAGAATCGAAAAAATTAGATTCCTTTAATTTTTATAATGCTATATAATGAGGCCCTATGCTCCACTTAGAAGTAGATATATATATAGAAGAATGATGTGTAGTACAATTCAATATGAGACCCTATACTCCACTTAGGAGAGAAAGACAGCAAGAAGAAGAAGAATGGTATATAGTACAATTTCATGAGATGTCCTATGCTTCACTTAGAAGAGAAGAGCTACAAGAAGAAGAAGAATGATATATAGTACAATTCAATGAGAGGCTCTATGCTTCACTTAGAAGAGAAGAGCTACAAGAAGAAAAAGAATGATATATAGTACAATTTCATGAGACGTCCTATGATCCACTGAGAAATAGATATATATATATATATAGAAGAATGATATGTAGTACAATTCAATATGAGAGGCTCTATGCTTAACTTAGAAGAGAAGAGCTACAAGAAGAAGAAGAATGATATATAGTACAATTCGATGAGAGGTCCTATGCTCCACTTAGGAGAGAAAGACAGCAAGAAGAAGAAGAATGATATATAGTACAATTCAATGAGAGTCTCTATGCTTCACTTAGAAGAGAAGAGCTACAAGAAGAAGAAGAATGATATATAGTACAATTCAATATAGTTCAGTGTAATATATTGTAAGTAACGAACGTAAAGAATGATTTTCAAGTGAAGAAACACCCTACTAAGCTTATAGCATTAAACTTTAACAATTAAATATTTTTAGCTTAAGTATTTTATTTTTTGAATTATTTTAATTTATTTATTTATATTGTTTTAACATTTTGTTTGTATAAAAATAATATCCATATAGATTATATAAAAAAAATACAACTTATTTAAATGTTTACCATTTGTGCTCAGTGATGTTAGGTACAAAACTTATATTCCAAATAAAAAACGTATAAATAATTTGTAAATTTTCCAAATTTTGCCGTTTATGGATTTTTTAGATTTTTTAAAGACCTTGACCACTCAACCAATCATCTAGAAAAATCAAAAAAAATGGACCATCGTTGAGAAAACCCAGCGAGTTAAATTAAATATATTAAAGTGTTCTTTACATTAATTGAATTGCCTTTTTGTGTTAAATATTTCCACACAATAGTTCAGTTCAGTCTTATCAATTTAGTCTATTCAATTCTCAGTTAATCGGGAAATAAATTCTCAGTTAATGTATTTGAGTTAAAGTATGGCAAGTGTAGGTGAACACCTGCCCGCAGACTATTTGCAATTAACTAGTTTGACGTTACCACCATTGGATAATGTCAACGTCTTGTTCGTGACAACTGGTAAAAATGACTTATTTATGAAATTTAAATCTTAAAATCTTAAATCTTTAAATCTTAATCTTAAAATTTAAATCTTAGATTTAAATCTTAAATCTTAAAATCAAGTCACTCGTTAGTGAATTAGGAAGTCAAACACCCTGAAACAGTTTGGTTTATAATAGCTTAGACGCAGAAGTGACACAGAAAATGTTCGGATTTCTTGTTCAGATACTATTAAACCTGCAGAAGACATAGGAAGACTTGTACTCAGTACGCATGTAAAAATGGTTAATTTTTAACCCAGTGCATTTCTTTTTTCGCGGGAAAAGTTCTTTGAGATGAAATGATCTATTGGCAATGACATGCATCTTTAAGATCTTTTTCTGATATTGATATACTGATATTATTACAAAAATTAGAATCGAAAAAATTAGATTCCTTTAATTTTTATAATGCTATATAATGAGGCCCTATGCTCCACTTAGAAGTAGATATATATATAGAAGAATGATGTGTAGTACAATTCAATATGAGACCCTATACTCCACTTAGGAGAGAAAGACAGCAAGAAGAAGAAGAATGGTATATAGTACAATTTCATGAGATGTCCTATGCTTCACTTAGAAGAGAAGAGCTACAAGAAGAAGAAGAATGATATATAGTACAATTCAATGAGAGGCTCTATGCTTCACTTAGAAGAGAAGAGCTACAAGAAGAAAAAGAATGATATATAGTACAATTTCATGAGACGTCCTATGATCCACTGAGAAATAGATATATATATATATATAGAAGAATGATATGTAGTACAATTCAATATGAGAGGCTCTATGCTTAACTTAGAAGAGAAGAGCTACAAGAAGAAGAAGAATGATATATAGTACAATTCGATGAGAGGTCCTATGCTCCACTTAGGAGAGAAAGACAGCAAGAAGAAGAAGAATGATATATAGTACAATTCAATGAGAGTCTCTATGCTTCACTTAGAAGAGAAGAGCTACAAGAAGAAGAAGAATGATATATAGTACAATTCAATATAGTTCAGTGTAATATATTGTAAGTAACGAACGTAAAGAATGATTTTCAAGTGAAGAAACACCCTACTAAGCTTATAGCATTAAACTTTAACAATTAAATATTTTTAGCTTAAGTATTTTATTTTTTGAATTATTTTAATTTATTTATTTATATTGTTTTAACATTTTGTTTGTATAAAAATAATATCCATATAGATTATATAAAAAAAATACAACTTATTTAAATGTTTACCATTTGTGCTCAGTGAGATTTGTGGACATCTTCTGCTGTAAACATGAGGCTGCTGTTATCAGTGAATTTGTACCCATACTTGTGTAAATATATTAATATATATATAAATAAATATAAATGCTAAATGTATTTATTTACTGCAGTTCGTACTGATAAGTAAAAATATACACACTCAGCCACATACTTAATATAATATTTTTGTATATGAAATATCTTAGTTTGTTGCGCTTTGGTTTAGCTTTATTGTCTTAATGTTGACTTTTAATATTAATTAACATCTGATAAGCAGACAAACATTTTGTAAATAATAATTGAATGTAAATAATTGTGTGCTTAATATAGGAATTAATAATGATGAATAAATTAAATCTCTAATGCCTACCTAGCCCAGTTCATAAATAATTAAATTTAAAAATTCGCTCTGAATTGTTTTCTCATCAAGTAAACACGTATAGTGCAAACGTAAGTACAAATATAACTAAATATAGATTACAAATATATTATAAATAAAAAAATAAAATCGTAGTATAATTCTTGTGCAGGCCGCTTCTTCTTCTGTCTTCAATTAAGCCGCTTCTCCGTTTGGCTTTCCATTTTTACCCGCCATAATGACTGCTAGCTCCTCTCCATTTTCAGCGACATCGCATTTACGTTGCTTCTTACCAAACATCTCCCCATCCGCGATTGTTTCCAACATAGGCTTGTTGTGCGTCTCTGGTAGCAAGAGCGACAGCAAACCACCTGTAAATGCTAGAGCACCACAAATGATCAGAGGTAGTGGACGCCAAATTTGACCAAGTAGATTCAAGTAGGGAGCCAAAATGCCACCAACCCGCGCCATCATTGACGATGCACCTAAACCTACATTGCGCACCACTGTTGGAAATTGTTCAGCGGAGAAAATGTAAATTGTTCCATAAGCGGCAGTGATAGCTAATTTTCCAAACATAGCAAGCGCTATAATCAGCCAGTTCGTATCAGCAGGCACTATAACAGTTAATAATAACGCTACTCCCGCAGCCAACATGCAACCACAAAGTATTGTACGTCGTCCCCATCTGTTCAGTGTAAAAAGCAAAAAGGTATATCCCGGAATCTCAACGGCACCAGAGATCATAAAATTTAATAGCACATTGCCTCCCAAATTATTAGTATTCCAGGAGAGCCCATAATATGTGCCACTGTTCACAAACCAATCGAAAAATATGAGCAACGTTTTACGACGCAAATTCGGATACTTCAGCAGATCGAATACATTTGGTGCTTTTTCATTTGGATCTTTTGTTTCTTGCTTCTTTTTTTCTTCCTCTTCATCGATGAGATTGTCATAAACTTCTGATGGTATTACGACTCCATTTACTTTAGCCGCTTTCTGTATAACAACAACTGCCTCTGATTTACGACCTTTAGACAGCAACCAACGTGCAGATTCTGGTATAATCCAATGGTAACACATGAAAGCTAAACCAGGTAATGTCAGTGCAATCTGCAACCAACGCCAGTCATGTATGAAATAAGCAAATCCTGCAGTCAGCATAAAACCAACCGAAAAGAACATTTGACACGCAACGCCAGCAAAGAGACGCCTTGAAGGGCCCACCATTTCCATGGCTATCACATATGCCACAAGAAACACGCCAGAAGTAGTAGCGCCAATAATCATGCGAGATATAGTGTAAGTAAAATATTCCGGTGCTATGCCAGCCAATATGCCAAATATCACTTGAATGACAAGTGAAGCAAAAAATATGGGTTTACGTCCATACTTATCGGAGAGCTGACCAAAAATAATGCTCCCCAGCAAGACACCAACCATAAACAAGGAGTCACTAGTCGCTGCCAGTAAACTGCGATGACACACCATGTTCCATTCAGTCACTGCGCTGTTCTCGTACTGAGACTTGTCATACACATAAGCGCTGCATTGCGCAGTGCCATTGGCACTATTCGGCGTGCTGCCGTTCAAATAGTCAAACGTATAGTTCGCATTGTAGTACTCACAAGTCTGGAATTTGTCCCCTAATTCTGTTGGTGGATAGGATAACTTCCATATATGCGCTGGCAGTTCATAAGAGACATTTTGCTCGTGTTCAAAGGGCAGCACACAACGGAAATCTGGTTTCGCCAATAGAAAAACACCAGCTAGCTTATGAAAAGCGCACGATATCGCGGGAAGGCAGAGAAGAAAGTAAATCTGCTTTTGATATCTGCCGAAATCGCCTAAGTAACCAATTACTTCATCATAGCCCATCTTGTTAAGTTCGAGTTATTCGAGATGATAGAAACTCGAGCGGTTCCCGCGTAAAATTTAAATTATTTTCAATTTTGATTCAGTTTTGTTTTATTTTGTTTTTAATTTGTTTTTATTTTGTAGGAAGCCGAAAATGCGTAAACTTGACACTGAAAAGCACGAAAGCAACAAAATCGCTAAAACAAAGAAAACTGAAGTGAAAAAATTTCAAGCAGAACGAATTCGACGTCTGTTTGTGAGTTTATCGGTGTGCATGAATCACTACATGCGCACTCGACGCCGTGTCTTTCGCTCTCCGCCTCGGTTCTCGGCTCTTGGCTCTTGGCTCTTGGGTCTTGCCAATTCGAACACAGTAACGCGTTGGCTAAAGTACGTGGTGGCGCGTTCTATTGTTGGCTGCACAGATTAGCGAAGATAAGTTAGAAAAGTCTTGCTAACTACGTAGATAATGCCGCCACCTCATGCCTCATGCCTGTTGCCTGTTGCGCTGTCGACTACTGCACATGTTCGGTTTGAAATAGGCCAACAGCTGTGCTCATACAACAATTCAACGATTAAACGATTCAACGATTCAACGATTCAACAAGTATCTCACAGGCACACTGGCATCATTTCATACGGCATTCGCACAACAGATTGCGAATGGCTTTGCTTTTTGCAAGGTAACGCGGCGTATACGTAATCGTAACTATGTGAATGTGAATGTCTTCGCTGCGACTGCTGCTTATAGCAATTATCTATTTCTTGTTTATTAGAAACGCAGTTGGTAGTTCAATGACCAACGCTTACTTCACTATACCGCACAAACCGTTTTCTTTGCTATTCCTTCAATCAGATGCTTGTATCATTATACCGCGCACAACAGTCTCACGTCCGCATTTCACGTCCACAGTTCTTCACAAACTGATTTATGTGCTTGACTATCAAACTCACTTAACTCACTTAACCAACAGACCACATTGTGCGAGCCATCATATTTTCACTCAAACGCAAATTGTATCTCTGTTAGATTTCTATAATCGCCGCTAGATACGAGTGAGTGTGTATGAGTGCGAGACTCTCGTTCAGACTCTTGCAATCTGCACGTGAGTGAGTGAAGACTATTCAACTGTCAAAAGAAACATATATAATGGCAGCACACAAAAGCTCGCACAGCCTCTGCAACTCAACTCAATAGGAACCAACAACGCACGATACATTCGCTAGATACATTTGCTGTATGAGTATTACCGCTTCACTGATTAGATACACATGGCGTGACTGTGCAGATACCTACGCTGATATCCTGTGTACTACTTTCTACTACTTCCTAACGTTCTTCCGCGTTTGTGTTAGGGTGTACACAACACATGACCTCCGTATGGCTGTAGCACGATTATTTTTCCTCAAAGCCCGCCAACTCGTAATGTCTTCTCTACGTATGTAAATCCAATGGCCTTTGATACTAGAAAAAAAAACTGTTCACTTAAAAATATCCACAAATATCCACAATATGGGAAAAAAGAATAAAGAACAAATGACACCATTATTTTTGCCATTGCCGCTGATTAAGTTGAGATAGTGAAATATAAAAATCAATGTCGAACGACATTTTTTCAGTACAACATGTAAATATCTACTCATATATTTATTTATAAAACTTCAAACGTGCTGAATTAAACATTTAAAAAGTGAACACTACTCACGTAGATGAGTAGTAGTAGTCCAATACTTCCTTAGTTAGAACGAAATTAACTACATTATTTATTAAATGCATAAAATTTTAACTTAATTTAATAGTTAATTATATTTAACTATTTTTTACTGTATAAAAAAACTCTTGGAACTTTACTTAATAATATTCGTGGATCTTAGTCAGTTTTCTTAAGATGGTAACTATATAACACAGATACAGAAGTCAATAAAGACCCTGTGTAGACTGTTAATAAAGATAAAAATACTCTTGAAACTTTACTTAATACTATTCGTGGATCTTAGTCATTTTTCTTAAGATGGTAACTATATGATACAGATACAGAAGTCAATAAAGACCCTGTGTAGACGGTTGAGTGCATGCATTCACTCAATTCGAAATCTATTCATATAAGAATTTCCTACTTACAAATTTTTGAATGTAATAGAAACAAAAACCGCTTTTGCGTGACAAGGTAGATATAAAACTTCTATCAATCATTGTAGCTACAAGATTAGCATCTAGATTAAACCTATTAATATCTCATTTATTAAACATATAATAGACGTTCAATATAATCTGCAAAAATTTATTGACATTTTGAAATTTTTTGTTTATTTATATTTATCAGTACCTTCACTTATCTCGATAAACTTTTCTAAACTATGCTTAAGCTTTCTTAGTCTCTTCAAGTAGTGCCTTGTACAAAAATCTTTAAAACATCCATTTGCAACGGATCTAGGATCCAGATCTAGTGCATAAACCATTGCCAATCGTTTTTATAATATTTAATATATTTCGTTATTAATTTATAGCTCCTGTCTTTGTACGACCTCTTTCGATATAGTCAGCCAACGACACATTCTTGCCATTCCAAAAACCTATAACTATGAGCTTCACATATACCAGTACAGACTTTGTCTACTTTGAAGATGTTTCAACTTTTTTGATGGCTTTACGATCTCTAAAATACAGCGGTGGCTCAAGAAGAGCCTAATTTTGTGTAAAGCATTATGCATTATTCACTAAACATAGTTCTTTAAGCAAAGACTGTGGAACAGCCACAGTCTTAGCAAACTTCATGATTTTTATTCGACGATTATTTGATGTTTTCGTCGGAGTAAACAATTTTTGTCGCTCTGTCTACAACATGTACCGCTGATCTTACAACTGTTGCATATGATGTGACAAATTCCCTATAAAATATTTGTTAATTTTTTGTAATTTGCAATGGATTATTTTATACATATTCATATTCAGATTCAATTTGTAATTGAATCACAGTGCGATACGTATTTTTCTACATTTTCACAAATACATGAAGTTGCATTTCTTGGTCTACATCTGGGCTGTCCAGATCAGATTGCATCTGATCACACTGCATCTGATTGCATCAAACACTATACAAAACACTATACAGATTGGAGGGCCGATTACAGATTAGCTGGTAACTTTTACTGATTAAGCCTGTTTTCTGACCTTTTTGATACGCATTGTCCAACATTATTATTTAGTGATATTTCTAAACCATAATTCTAATGAAAATTAAAAAAGAAATTTCCGGTTTATGGGATATATTTACAAAGTTTAAAAGAGAATATGGATTAGATGAATTGAAAAGTATTTCAAAATGTAAATTTCAATATTTAAAAATGAATTTACAAACTATATAAAAAGAACTAAACTCTTTCCCAAAGTTTTATCCTACACTCAAATTTAGGATGACTTCGATTATTATAAGTAAAATTTAACCCTAAAATGAAACTCAATATGAGTCAACTTACCTACCTTTTAACAAAAACCAACATTTCTTGTTAGCATAATAGACGTCATACTAACATCATCCGGACACCATATCTAATATAATATGTACATTATTATTCCAACAAGTCCCTGTGGCATCATTGCTTACCATCGTATTCTTCGTATTCATCGTGTTCATCGTTTTATAAAATAAATTCGGTTTTATAATTCATTTAGCAAAATAGCATAAAAAATTTATTTACTTTTTTGGCATAGAAATACTAAAAGTTACTACCGGTTAAGTACGCATATTCGAATATTTTTGGATTTCTACGAATTTGGGTGATTCATCATTTTTGAAGCGCAAATTAACTTACACACACATAAAAAGTACAGAGAGTATAAATATTAAGTACACTAATACATTGACAAGTTAAAATTAGTAAATTAATGTCTAATAATTCTTATTAATCTTTTTGTTCGTTCATGGAATGTCCATTTAGCGGAATGGTTTCCAGTATGTCACCTTTTACTTGCATCTCCTTGCCATTCTCTACGTAGTCACAAGCTTTAGCGTTTTTGCCAAACTTTTCGCCCTCGGCAATCGTTTCCAAAGTGGGTTTGTTGTGTGTTTCAGGCAGGTACAGAGACAGTAAGCCGCCTATAAACGCCATGGCACCAAATATAATTAACGGCAGCGGCTTATAAATTTCAGCTAACATATTGAAGAAGGGCGCCAGAATGCCCCCAATACGGGCTACCATTGAAGAAGCGCCCAAACCCACATTACGTACCACGGTGGGAAATTGTTCAGCAGAAAATATATAAATTGTGCCATAGGAAGCAGTTATGGCTAGTTTGCCTAACATCGCAAAAGCTATTATCAACCAGTTCATATTAACAGGCACTATAAGCGTTGAGAGTAACCCTAACCCAGCCACTAACATACTTCCACAAAGTATTGTACGTCGTCCCCATCTATTTAAAGTTAGTAGCAAGAAAATATAGGCAGGTATCTCAACTGCGCCTGATATGGCAAAATTCAGTAAATCATTATCACCCAAATTGCTGGTGTTCCAAGAGAGTCCATAGTAGGTGCCACTATTCACGAACCAATCAAAAAATATTAACAGAGTTTTACGTCTTAAATTTGGATACTTCAGTAAATCAAATACATCTGGTGTTTTTTCTTTGTTCACTTCAGCTTCCAATTGTTGTTTCTCTGTACTATCCACCTCTAACAGATTGTCGTAAATTTCACGCGGTACAGTCAATTTGTTAAATTTTGCTGCTTTCTCCATAATTTTTATAGCTTCATCTTTGCGTCCTTTAGATAACAGCCAACGGGCAGACTCTGGTATAACCCAATAATAGCACATGAATACCAGACCCGGCAGTGTAAGTGCTATCTGAAACCAACGCCAGTCGTGAACAAAGTATGCAAAAACGGCAGTTAGCATGAAACCCACAGAAAAGAACATCATGACGAAAATGCCAGCAAATATACGTTTTGACGGACCAACCATTTCCATAGCTATGACATAAGCAACCAAAAATACGCCTGAAGTCGTAGCTCCAACAATTAGACGGGATACAGTATATGTCAAATATTCTGGTGCCAAACCAGCCAAAATACCAAATATAACTTGGATAACTAGCGAAGCAAAAAATATAGGCTTACGTCCATATTTATCTGATAATTGTCCAAATACAATGCTGCCCAACAACACACCCAACATGAACATGGCATCACTTGTGGCGGCCAAGAAACTGCGATTGCAAACCATGTTCCATTCAGTCACTGCGCTATTCAAGTACTTCGACTTGTCGTACACATAAGCATTACACGTTGTTGTCCCATTGGCCTTGTTCGGCGTGGTACCGTTCAAGTAATCTGTTGTGTACTCTGCATTGTAGTACTCGCATGTCTGCAATTTGTTACCAAGCAAATTTGGCGGATACGAAATATTCCAAACTGTTGCCGGCAAATCGTACGTGGCGTTGACCGCATCTTCAAATGGCAGCACACAGCGAAAATCTGGTTTCGCGAGCAGAAAAACACCGGCTAATTTATGAAACGCGCATGTGATGGACGTGAGACAGATGAGAAAATAAATGATGCGCTGATATTTGCCAAAACCTCCCAAGTGACTCAAGACGTCATCGTAACTCATTTTTGTTTGTTTGTCCAGATCTCCGATGCCACACTTGACAATAACTAGCGCAATTTCAATTTAAAATATTAATTAAAACAATAACAATAAAACAAAACAATAAAAACAATAAAAACAATAAATGAATGTTTGTTTTTTTGTTTGTTTGGTTTTATTGAATAGCGAGCGCCACCAAAAACAATAGCTGCGTTGTCAAAAGCTCAGATAGCGACTATGAAAAAGCGCCCTTTGCGGGTATGGAACAAATTTGCGTACGATAAGTAATCTAGTGGTCTCCGCCACCCGCCTGTTGGCTGTCCCAAATTAATAGCAATAGCTTACTTAATTAAAGAGCAGTTCCAGAAACGTGTATACCATTTACTTAGCACGTGTTTAACTATTAATGAAAATATCAATTGTTTTATGCAACCGCCCGCCTTTGTGTGTTTATACAAACTTCAATTTATTAAACTCGCGAATGTATTGCTCTATAAGAGGCGGCGAAATATTTAATTCACAGCACTTTTTCACTTCCAGGTTCTTTTCGATGGTTCTGTCTTCCCTCAGCCACTTGCGAGCACAGCCGAAACACAACTGCCAAAACACTGCTTCGCCGCTCTTGTATGTGAATCGACACCAAAATACTTTATATCTATGTAGATAACACACAAAAGATATACTAACGTTTACACACATAAACTCATTCATCTACGGAAGCCGAGAAACGCAGCGGCATAGTTTAGATGCTTTACCAACCCCGCCTCAGGGACTCTTACGACTCTTATGACTGTTTCTCAACTTGTGAACGCATTGCTATTGCCCGCTCAATAACACTCCACACTCCACACGACGGCACTGTTTTTATCTACCAACACTACCAATACTGAAACGCCAACATATCTAATTCTCAATTTTCCAAAAGTTGTCATATACTCGTATGTGTAAACACGCAAAAACGAGCATAAAATTTTTGTTTGCTTGGAGAAAATGACGTCTGCAGTCGGAGCATAACGACAACCGCGGCATGCTTTATAGCTTTAAAGCTTTCCACTACCAATTCATCAACAGCGATTGAGCAGTTCTTGCCTAGCAATCGTTTGCAGGTCATAAACTGAACTCTTCTGCTTGTCAATGTTCTATGAGGTATTCATTTTCGCAGAAGTAATTAGCTGAGAGAGTGTATATGTATGCAGCGTTTAGATACTGTGTTATCCACACGTGTTCTTCCAAACCAAACCAATACTGAGACCAACATATGAAGTCATCAACCCTTGCAGAAGAAGTATTCGAGGTTTCGAGGGTAGTTTCTGTGGACTGAACAGATGTGAGAAATCACGTGATTTTCGTTCAAGTTTTAAGAGTTACCAACTGTGAGCTTCAAGCTTTGTTCTCTGACTATTACAGATAAAGGATTAAAATTGGGATTAGGTCTTGGCAACACAACTAAATAGATAAATAATTTAGATTATAGTCGGCATAACCTAAGCCTAATATAGTTTTGTGTATAATTCAATTAAAAATATACTTTCTCAAAATTGTTGTAAAATAAACTTATGGCCAACACGTGATCCATAAAATAGCCTCAATCAATGGTTCATCAATGGCCCATAATGTTCTGATGACAAAGGTAAGGAAAGAAAAAGTGCTTTCTGGTTATATCAAAATTTAAGAACGATTTGTTTTCAGACTGCGAAGACATATGTGGTTTCCTTAAAACACAGTTCAATACTAATGGAGTATAAGGAGTTACTGAAAGATTTATCAGAATCATAGTTAATATTCGGTAGAACTGTTTTCCTGATTGTTGAATACTTACTTATAAATGTTTCAAGTATTTACTAGAATTCTTTACTTAAATTCTTCTAGAACTGTTCATTCCTTTTTAACCTTTTCGCAATGTTCTTACAAAGAAGTAGTTTTTATTTTTTTAGAAAAATAAAGAACCTCATCATGCTTTCTTTATAATATTTTAGTTAGAATTCAAATTTTAGACAATTAATGATATATATTAAACTACTTTCAAACAGCTTAACAGATCTTCTTATCTCTAAAATATATTGGTAACTATCTATTCTACATTTAATATATGATATGTGATATATGAGACAAAGAATAGTGCACCAAGTTGTCATAATAATTAATAATATATAATTAACTAAATGATAGAATCTTAAACCAATTCAACAGTCCCATTAACAGACAAAATGTATGACGGCTATTAATAGATCTTAAACAAACAATTGTATTTGGAAGTAAAAGGACTATTGTCTTAGACTTGAAGACAATATTCATTTCACAAAGATTTTATGCGAATACAACGACTATCACCTCTTATGTTTTGAATTGTTAATATTTTTTATAACAAATAATGGAACACAAATTTATTACATTTTATTAAAATAATATATCTTTATTAACTTATTAATAAGTTAAAAGAATTGATCTTAAGCGAATCTCTTAAGCGAAAATTTAATATCAATTGCTTCTGCTTGCACAGTTGAATCACAGATTAATCGAATTTTTAATATAAAATAATTTTCTGATATTTGCAGACAATGTTTTGTTTAGAAATTTTAAAAATATAAATATTTAATTAACAATTATTTTCTTTATACACGGCATTTGAGCGACTTTGCATTTTTTCAAAATTTTAACAAATCAAAATCGTCCAACTCTGCTTATCGAACTCAATTAGAATCAATTATTACTAATATACGACTATGTATAGAAAAAAATTACTTGGTGACAATTTTCGTCTTAAAGACAATATTTATTGTAGCGAATGTTCAATTAATTTCAATTGATTTGCTGCTCTTCAATATAAAAAGATACTCTTTCATCGTGGCAATATTTATAAAATGAACAAGCAAGCTTAAATGTACTTAAGATACTCGGACTTATTGACAATCCACTAAGGAAAATTTCTTTAATTTGATTGAAATGATCTTATATATTTTATAAAGTATATAATATATTAACATAGATACATTTTAGTTACTCAACAAACCAATTCAACACTCCCATTCACAGACAAAATCTATGACGGCTATATATAGATCTTAAATAAACAACTGTATTTGGAATAGTAATAATGTGTATATAACATATAGTAGCATACATACAACACTGTATATAATATACACGTTATATATGCTGCTTGTAGAAAATGCAGAAATTTATATTAAAAGAAAACTAACACAATTTATGGATAAACACCAAAAATTTATTTCGGTCTGTTGGCCTTCAAAGAATTGGTTTAGAAACTAAACCTGAAGATACAATTTTTTTCAACTTGTCCAGATAGTTAACGTTGTAACTTCAAATTGGTGCATTTCATAGTTGTTTCCAAATGGATTTGTAGTTGACTTTACTACTTAAACCAATGATTTTCCTAAAATGCTCTAGTGGCGATTAATCATACTATTAAGGAGACCACGCCACTGCTCTATTTTTGAAGAAAATTTGCTTATCGAACTATAAATGTTAGGGAGTGAGTTTCACTTACGGCAACAAACCGGAGCTATAAATCTGGTACCACAGGTGTAAGGGCATACGCCCTTGACTCTCCTGACTAATTGAGGTTGGCCACTTTAATGGAAGTAGCGTGGTTGCTGTGGTTAAAACCCAAATTTACGCTGGCAGAATGCCTATTTATTCGATGTGAAGTTGCATTTAACAACCGTGCGCTGTGCCCCAAAGAACAGCAGTGGTGTTAGATGAGACTCGCTTTCTCTCAAGAAAGGAACTATAACCAAACGTATAGAATCGGTGAAAATCTTTAAAATCCATTAAATTCATTAAATTTGCATTATACTGATACGTTAAAAACACATTCACCCACACATAGAAAAATACATTGTTGTTTATATGCCATCAGCCTAGCCCATAAACATACTGCCAAATATTTAAAGTCAAATTCCAAAAAGTCTATATACGAAATTTTATTTTAGTGTCTAGTTTGCGTTAGATCCCATTCACAGACAATTGAATATTGTTATTTTGACTCATTTCAGTTATATTATAAAATATATATTTACATTCCGACGTCCCTTTCGCATCTTTTTAAACATCTCAGAAAACTTCAAACACCATTTTCACATTTTGAGGACATTATTTATAGCATGCGAGAAGGAAAGTTCATCGCACGATATAATTTTTCTAGCTCGGTGTCAATGTGCATGCAAATGTCATACGTTCGCATAAAAATTTTCTATGTATTTTTTATTAACTACTTCAATTTATAGAAATAAATAAATTTTTGTATTTAATAAACTAGAACTATCAAAAAATAATAATATATTATTAAAATGAATGACAGAGGTTCAAGTAAGCAATAATGTTGATCTTTTTAAATCTTAAACAAGTGGCATCACTGTTCAACCGGCACTTGTCTTTATATTCTTCTATATTTACATTTTCCTTTCATTACAATTGGTTTTGCACAAATAGTATTCCATTTCTACTATATAAGAGTTTTTAAAAATCATGTTTTCATTAAAGCGATTTTGCACAAACGGTAAGCTATCTCAAATATTGTCTGCTATGTATTATTTTTAAAATTTTTTGTTTAAAAAGCTACTCGAGTAGGATGCCTGAATTTTTCCAGTGCGGTGGAAAAGCCAAAAACAGCAGTGCTTATGCTAAATATGGGTGGACCTCAATCTATCGATCAAGTACATGATTATTTACTACGCATAATGACAGACCGTGATATGATTCAGCTACCAGTGCAAAGTAAACTGGGTCCCTGGATTGCACAACGTCGTACACCGGATGTTCAGAAAAAATATACTCAAATAGGCGGTGGATCACCAATATTAAAATGGACTAAATTACAAGGAGGACTTATGTGCAAGGAATTGGATAAAATGTCACCTGAGACAGCTCCACATAAGCACTATGTGGGTTTTCGTTATGTAAATCCTTTAACTGAAAACACTTTACAAGAAATTGAAAGGTATATATTATAAAATACATTATATATAATTAAAATATATAATCAATAATATATTTACAGAGATGGACCAGAACGCGTGGTTTTATTTTCACAGTATCCGCAATACAGTTGTGCAACATCTGGCTCTAGTTTCAATTCAATATTTCACCATTATCGCGAGAAGTGAGCAACAATCGTTCATTTTCAAATATAAAAATCAAATTATTTTGCTTTCCGTTTTAATAGTACATTCCCAAAAAATATTAAATGGAGTGTTATTGACCGCTGGGCTACACATCCTTTGCTCATTAAAACATTTGCAGATAGAATACGTGAGGAGCTAAGCAAATTCGTTGAAACCAAACGTGATAATGTGGTAATATTATTCACTGCTCACTCTCTACCGCTTAAAGCTGTTAATCGTGGTGACTCTTACCCATCGGAAATTGGAGCTACTGTGCATTTGGTTATGCAAGAACTTGGTAAAACCAATCCGTACAGTTTAGCCTGGCAGTCGAAAGTTGGCCCACTACCTTGGCTAGCACCTGCCACTGATGATGCTATTAAAGTAAATATATGAACTATTAACCATAATGATTTTGTTGAATAATTTTAAGATCTTAGGGTTATGTTAGGCAAGGACTTAAGAATTTTATACTAGTACCCATTGCTTTCGTAAATGAACATATCGAAACACTGCATGAATTGGATATTGAATATTGCGATGAATTGGCTAAAGAGGTGATATAAAAAACAATACTTAATTATATTTCGCTATTAAAGTTTATTTTGTAGGTCGGAGTAGAAGAAATGCGTAGAGCTGCCGCTCCAAATGATCACCCACTATTTATAAAAGCTTTGAGCTCT